TCTTTTACAAGAAAAAAAAATCTTAATGAAATTATATCCTTCGACAATGTAATTTGTATGACTTTAAAGTATGTGTTTTTATTTTTTGGCTTGTGTGTTTTTTGCGAATAGGTAGGTAGGTTTTTGAAATATGGGTGGACGCTAAAACTTGGGAGAAAAAACTTGGAATGGCCTTATTACGAGAAAATGATCCCTTTTGCCCTCTTCATTGTGTGTACATGTATGCTATTCCATGGGCAAATGATTTCACTCTTTGTTAGATTTTTGCAAATTGTTGAGATTTTATATTATAAGTATACTTTTATGTCAGATGAAATATCAAAGAACATTTTGTTATAATTGAGGTTTAATTTTTCACCTTTATATTTGTTTCACTAAAAGAATATCGCTCGCCCTATTAGCCCATCTTCTTTAAAACTTACAGTTAATGGTTGATTAATTCCATCACATCCTTTCATAAGAAAGATAAATACGCATTTAGGCAATAATTTAATCAGGCGCATATCAAAGTTTGCCACTTAGATAAAACAATTAAACATGTAGTTTTACACCCCCGCTTGAAGGGCAGAGTTTATAGTGATTGGGGTGTATTATTTTATGTCAGTATCAGTTGGGGGCTCCCATATCTTTTCTGTAACTCCTCATATACCACTGAATAAAATTTATGAGACTTTCACAGAATCTTTTTTATTACACTGTACCATTGTGCATCTCCTATTTCATATTCTGATTGACAGATATTTGGGGTTTCTCTCAGCTAAAAAAGGACTTTGCTATTATATATGCTAGGCTTGGTCGCGAGGGAGGTGGGGGGTGTTATAATTTTGTGAGCTCAGTTCCCACATTACCTCTAGTGTATATGTCGTCCTCTAAACTGGGATAGAAGTTTTTGGACATAACTCACATGGTCAATTGACAATAGGCGAACTTCAAATATTATTAGTAGGTGACTTGAATGTACATGTAGATCTTCTTAATGCTCCACAAACGAACATAATTCATGAAATTGTTTCAACACATAAACTTGTTAACAATATCATTGAATTCGAACCGACTATAACTTCACACACGTCGAGCACGCTTCTTAACCCAATTCTTACATCTGTTGACATTCAAGTATGCGAATCAGACACTCCAACAATAGGCGCTTCTATCAGTGACTATAGAGCAACTTATATTTCGCTTTCTTTCAGTATAAATTATAATCGTTCGTACAAGCATAAAGTGTGGGCTTATAACAATTCAGATTTCAAAAAGTAAATTCTCTTATTAATCGAAAATTGTGATTGGACAAAAAGTAGCAACGAAAATGAAACAATAAACCTTGCAGCTGAACATTTTACATTGGAATACCTATTCTGTGTTCATGAATGTATACATGAACAAACTGTAACCATTCGTCCTGGTGAAAAACCATGGTTTGATTCAGTGCTAAGTGAAACAATAAGAATTGGAAACCGTCTTCGTAACAAAGCACTATAAACTAAAAAAGATTCCGATTGGTCCGCATATAGAAAGGTCCGAAATTTAGTCAACAATATGAAAAAGAATACGATATCAAATTGTTACGACAAAATAGAACCTACTTGGAAGATTCAAGTAATATAACAATGTTATATTGGAAGTTTCACTTATATCAATTGATTTATTTTTCTTAATTTGCATGACATACTGTATTGTAATATATAAGGAGAGGGACTAGTAAGTTATAAGAACTTGTTTTCTATCCTTTTGATATATTCAATAAAATATGTTCAAAACAGTGCTTTGTGAACAGTTAACGCAAGCGGATGGTAAACGCTGAACACAAAACTGTGAATATTAAGCGCATGATGATCTCATGGTGAGCGGACGTTGAACACAAGGTGAACGAATAGTGGGCTAACGGAAAAAATGGGAAAAAAGAACGTTTCCTAATTCATCTATTATATGTGTTTAGATGACAGTGTGTGTCAGACGTGCTCAGTTGATCGTGTGTATCAGCAGTGATAAGTTGACTGGGTGTGTGCTAAATGAGCTTAGTTGACTGTGTGTATTGTACGTGTTTAAAAGACAGTGTGTGTCAGACGTGCTTAGTTGATCGTGTGTATCAGTAGTGTTCAGTTGACTGTGTGTGTGCTAAATGTGCCCAGTTGACTGTGTGTATTATACGTGTTTAGATAACAGTGTGTGTCAGACGTGCTCAGTTGACTGTGTACGTTAGAAATGTTCATGTGAAAGTGTTCAATTGGTTGTGTATCAGTAAACTGTACATATTAGGTCTGATATTATGTTTATTGGTGTTGTAACGGTATGCAGTGCTAATTTAAAAAATGGCCCCTAAAAAATTGAAGTTCAAAATGGATAGGAAAATCTTACCAAATTGTATTTAAATTTATCAGACCTATGCTTGAATGTACTTCAGTTGTTCGGGATGGCTACTCTAAACCTTGAAAAAGTACAACTTTCCACCGCTAGAATTGTAACAGGACTACCTATTTTTGTGTCTAGAGAAGCACTTTATTCTGAAAATGGTTGGGAAACTTTAAAAATGATTACTTTGTTCAAAATTCACAGGGGAAGAGTACCTGAATATTTGCATAATAGTGTTCCCAAAAAGCGTGATAATGTATCCATATACAATACTCGTGACAAACAAGATTATTTAATTCCAAGATGTAGATTAGAATTATTTAGAAATTCCGCCGTACCTAATGTTGCAAAACAATGGTATTTATTAAAAACAGAGGTCAGAAAAGTCATCTCAACATACATTTAGAGAAAAAAAACTTGATAACAAAAAATTAAAAATCCACCATCTTACTTTTCTTTCGGTAAAGCGAGATACCAATATCATTCATACTAAGCTACGACATTACTGTATACTAAACTATGATCCATATAAAGGAAATTATTAATAGTCCTTTATGTTCAAAAACATGAAGATGTGTAACATTTCTTTTTTGCATACAAAAATTGTTCTAATGCAAGAAGTAATCTTTTCAATCCCTTGTTCATGCTTGAATTGGTCACTATTGATATAAATCTATTATTAATGATGCTAATTTGCCGTTACAGATAAATAGCAGTATATTTGCTGCTGTTAACGTTCATATATTTATTGACGAAACATATAGATTCTCTAGTTGATATGTTATTTAATAGCATTTTCACTTGTATCAATTGTATTATTTTTCTTTAATTTGCATGAAATATTGTAATATATAAGGAAAAGAACTAGTTAGTTATAAGAACTTGTTTCCTATCCTTTTGATGTACTCAATAAAATATATATTCAAAACAATGCTTTGTGAACAGTTAACGCAAGCGGTTGGTAAACGCTGAACGCAAAACTGTGAACAATGAGCGCATTATGAGCTCATGGTGAACAGACGTTGAACGCACGATGAATGAAAGGTGGGCAAACGGAAAAATTGGAAAGTAGAATGTTCCTAATATATCTGTATACTTAAAATATTTCAAAATATGTTTATTTACATTTCTTGGCTGTGCTAAAATTCAGAAAAAAATAAATTAATGGATTTTTTCAAAGTAAATTCTCAAAAAAGATTCATTTCTATTGATATCATTGTGCTTCAATTGACAAAATTAAACGTTTTCCACTGTAAGTGTTCTCACCATGAGAAACCAAAATACATGAGTGGGCACTTTTTTGTACGATTCGGTTGATCGGTGATCATGAATTCCAGGATGTGTTAAATCTTGTCCATAAAGAATATGTATACCTGACTATGTTTACGAGGTAGATCGACGTAATATTTCTATCTTGTTAAATTGTTTTATCTGGAGATGGTTTGTTTGTTTGTATGTTGTTTAACGTCTCTCTCGAGATTTTTTCCCTCATATGGAGACGCCACCACTTGCCGGTGGAGAGCTGCAAATTTTGTCCTGTACTTGATACTTACGGTCATTGAGCAGTGAGGGATCTTTTCGTGCCAGCACCTACTGCGATACGGGATCTCGGTTTATACGGTCTCATCCGAAGATCCGATCTCCACGTCCCACAGTGGGATTAGAACCCGCGACGTAAGGATCAACTCCTTACTTCGCGACTCTAGAGCAGACGCTCTAACCACTGCGCCGGGCGACTCTGGAGATGGTATTGTTAATAGTATACTTAAGATATTTTTAATTACTTGACTGCGTGTATCAGATATGGTTATTTGGTTGTGTGTGTCAGATGTGGTTAGTTGACGGTGTGTTGGAGGTGCACAGCTAACCATGCATGTCTTTAAGAAGTGATTAGTTGGCTGTGTGTGTTGAACGTGTTTAGTTGACTGTGTGTATTATATGTGTTTAGATGACAGTGTGTCTCAGACGTGCTCAGTTGATCGTGTGTATCAGTGGTGATAAGTTGACTGTGTGTGTGCTAAATGTGCTTAGTTGGCTGTGTGTATCATACGTGTTTAGATGACAGTGTGTGTCAGACGTGCTCAATTGACTGTGTGCTTTAGAAGTGTTCAGTTGATAGTGTGTAAATGAAAGTGTTCAATTGGTTGTGTATCAGTTAAGTGTTCATTTGGTATGTGAAAAATCAAGGAATGAAATAAACCTTTTTCGATACATATTAGGTCTGATTCTATGTTTAGTTGTTATTTTTAGTCAAACATATAACATTTCTTCCCTCTAACTCCCTTTTACAAGAAGTGTCCATTTGCATGTGGGAAGTTAAGGTGTTCAGTCGGCACGTCATACACGTATAGGTGTGTATAACTTACAAGTGTAATATGTGTATAACTTACAAGTGTAATATGTGTGTAACTTACAAGTGTAATATGTGTATAACTTACAAGTGTAATATGTGTGTAACTTACAAGTGTAATATGTGTAATATGTGTGTAACTTACAAGTGTAATATGTGTGTAACTTACAAGTGTAATATGTGTGTAACTTACAAGTGTAATATGTGTAATATGTGTGTAACTTACAAGTGTAATATGTGTGCAACTTACAAGTGTAATATGTGTGTAACTTACAAGTGTAATATGTGTGTAACTTACAAGCCAAGGTTCCATGAACACACCAGGACAACATAAACAGCAAAAACAGTAGGAAACCAATGAAGTATTTGTGATTGTAGGCACCTACAGAGAAACAACATTACTAAAGACAATGTGAACAAAACGTAAGATTTATACATATGTATATTTTGTAGATAAATAACAGTGTCTTATGTGCTTTAATAGAAAGTCACACATGAGAATTACAATTATATATATTGATACGAAGGTAAAGATTCAGGATTCTTCAAATATTTTTATGGTTTGATAAAAAAATTCTGCAAAATAATTACCTGTCATGACAAAATGCTACATGAAAACACATTTATGGATAAATCTCCTTCATATTTTACATGTATTGATACCTATCCTATATACCTACCAATGCAATTGTCTGTCCATGGACAATGGTGGTCAAATTTGGCCACACATTTATCACAGGCAGAGCAGTGCTTTGATCGGATTGGACGATGAATAAGACATGTACTACAAAACTGATTTAACGTCAAGGTCTGCTTCTCTGCCAAATCTATAATTGTCTGTAAAGCAATGAAATATTTAAAATATCTCTAATTATCTGTAAATTAATGAGATATTTAATAAAATATCTAAAATTGTAATTCAATAAAATTGTCAAACACATGTACATATATTCCTCTAAAAAAATATATAATGAAATAAAACATTTATAAATACATGGAAAATAAGCATACCTGAAAATTTATACACAATTTACTGATAGGAAACATGAATTAAACATATTTAAGGATTCCTACGTGTTATCTCTGATTTTATTCCTATGAGTTACCTGTAATTTTATTCCTATGTGTTACCTTAATTTTATTCCTATGCCTTACCTGTAAATTTATTCCTATGCCTTACCTGTAAATTTATTCCTATGCCTTACCTGTAATTTTATTCCTATGTGTTATCTGCAATTTTATTCTTATGCCTTACCTGTAATTTTGTTCGTATGCATCACCTGTAATTTTATTCCTATGTGTTACCTGTAATTTTATTCCTATGAGTTACCTGTAATTTTATTCCTATGCATCACCTGTAATTTTATTCCTATGCCATACCTGTAATTGTATTCCTATGTGTTACCTGTAATTTTATTCCTATGCATCACCTGTAATTTTATTCCTATGTGTTACCTGTAATTGTATTCCTATGTGTTACCTGTAATTTTATTCCTATGCATCACCTGTAATTTTATTTCTATGTGTTACCTGTAATTTTATTCTTATGTATTACCTGTAATTTTATTCCTATGCATCACCTGTAATTTTATTCCTATGTGTTACCTGTAATTTTATTCCTATGAGTTACCTGTAATTTTATTCCTATGCATCACCTGTAATTTTATTCCTATGTGTTACCTGTAATTGTATTCCTGTGTGTTACATGTAATTTTATTCCTATGCATCACCTGTAATTTTATTCCTATGTGTTACCTGTAATTTTATTCCTATGCCATATCTGTAATTTTATTCCTATGCCATACCTGTAAATTTATTCCTATGCATTACCTGTAATTTTATTCCTATGTGTTATCTGTAATTTTATTCCTATGAGTGACCTGTAATTTTATTCCTATGAGTGACCTGTAATTTTATTCCTATGCCTTACCTGTAATTTTATTCGTATGCATCACCTGTAATTTTATTTCTATGTGTTACCTGTAATTTTATTCTTATGTATTACCTGTAATTTTATTCCTATGCATCACCTGTAATTTTATTCCTATGTGTTACCTGTAATTTTATTCCTATGAGTTACCTGTAATTTTATTCCTATGCATCACCTGTAATTTTATTCCTATGTGTTACCTGTAATTGTATTCCTATGTGTTACCTGTAATTTTATTCCTATGCATCACCTGTAATTTTATTCCTATGTGTTACCTGTAATTTTATTCCTATGCCATACCTGTAATTTTATTCCTATGCAATACCTGTAATTTTATTCCTATGCCATACCTGTAATTTTATTTCTATGTGTTAACTGTAATTGTATTCCTACATGTTACCTGTACTTTTATTCCTAGGCATCACCTGTAATTTTATTCCTACGCCTTACCTGTAATTTTATTCCTATGTGTTACCTGTAATTTTATTCCTATGAGTTACCTGTAGTTTTATTCATATGCATTACCTGTAATTTTATTCCTAGGAGTTACCTGTAATTTTATTCCTATGTGTAACCTGTAATTTTATTCCTATGTGTAACCTGTAATTTTATTCCTATGAGTTACCTGTAATTTTTGTTCTCTGTTGGATTTGATGAACCCTGGGTCTGTCATCCAGGACATGTAAAAATTGTAACATAACATCACCGTATTTAACCAGAACAATATCGTCTTTGTCCAGGTCATCTCTACATCTAAGCAACACTCAGGAAAATATTTGTTAGTTTTAAAACCCTGTATATGTATACATGTACATGTACCTATCTCATTTACGAAAATATATTTACTTGTTTAAGAATTATGCTCATTCTGACATATATTATTTTACCTAAAATAAATAGCCTCTCATCTTTTCTATATAACTGAATATGAAAAGGATACAAGGAATGAGATAGACAAACCAGGTAAAGTACATCATTATTTTGGAGCTTAGATACACAGACACAGGGATAATGTTCATCAACCTCTCGTCAAAGAAAAACCTGAAAAAAATCATTAAATCATACACAGACACAGGGATAATGTTCATCAACCTCTCGTCAAAGAAAAACCTGAAAACATTAAAGTCCTTGATAAGCACCGCCCTCCCCTTACCAGAGAAAACCGTACGGTTAAAAATGTCGGCCTTTAAATCATTAAAGAAAGGTATCTACTTTATATTTTAATTATTCTGAACATTGTACTAATTAAATTTTTATCATCAAAGAAAGAAGTTCTCCCCCTTCTTAATAATACTTACATATTAAGGAATTTCCAGAACCCCACAGCAAGCAGGGCCAGAATAAGTTTATAGTACCAAGGTATGGAAAGTTCAGGAATCAGGCCAATGGTGTATACAGCAAAAAACGGAAACCACCACATCACCTTTTTTCGTACATCCTGTAAATAATGGACATTCATGCATATACCTTTATCTACAAGTACTTAGTCTTACTCTAGGGAAGTAAAAAATACATGTATCATTGTATTGCATGTTGTGTACATCAAATATTCTGAGAAAAATTCTACAGTTCATCTCCAAGTAAAACTTGCCAGCTGTGAAACCTATACAGGAGCTAAGGAAGCTTTCAGTGAATTATTAAAATCATTTTTTTTAAACATACTTTGTTCCTAGAGAATTTGGTGAAGAAGTTTTGATGATCCAGTCCCCTGTCTGCTCGCTCTTGTCTCATTCTTTTGACTATGTTGGCATGTTTGTATTCAGCTGCCACATCCAAAGCATTTTGACCCTATACAAAGACATACACAAAACCCTATACAAAGACATACACAAAACCCTATACAAAGACATTCACGAAACCCTATACAAAGAGACATATGCAAAACCCCTATACAAAGAGACAGTAATGTAACTCCTTGGTTGGTCCTGACAATTTGTTATGAGAATAATTAGGACATTTTTAAAAAAGTTACCTTTGCATTTAGAATATTCAGATCAGCATTTTTGTCGAACAACATTTTCACTACACAGGTGTTGCCTGTTTGACAGGCAAAGTGAAGAGGTGTGTTTCCATTGACCTTGTCTTGTTTGTTAATACCTGCCCCCATGGTCATCAGTAATCGTGTAGGGTCATATCTGCAACATAATCAGTTAAACTGTCATCAAGCATAAACCAAATCTACTTAATTTCAAGATACAGTCAAACCTCTTTATCTCGCATGAAGAAAAAGAGATATTTAAGATACTGTGGTTAAAATTCATAAAGGAAAGGTTGTTTGGGATCTCCAACTGACTTCAAGATATGCATGGAATATACATCATTGTTCAAGATGACAAAATTCACTGTACTTGCCTAATTTTAATTATATAACCAGAGCTGCCAACATAATGAAATGAAAAATTGTAAGGAGGGTCCAAGGGCTGCTGGAAATTTTTTTTCACTCTGTTTACTTTAAAATGATTTAGATCACAAACATAGAAACAGACAATGTCTATACATCTACTTGCAAGACTGTGAATTTTGTATCACAAAAGTGAAAACTGAAGGTGGACAGCTATGAAAATTCTGTTGTTTCAAACTTTTGATAGAGAAAATTAGAAATTGGAGAATAAATAGAGAAATTGTAAGATGCATTTTAGTTGCTCAAACCATAACCTCATACCAAAACTGTAAGGGTTGGCAGCTCTGTATAACCTTTATAACAGCATACACAAAAATATCTACACACTGCAATCTATGTTGAACAAGTCTCTTGAACATTAAGGAATATTATTAAGAAATCACTTTTTCCGTCATTAATTAATTGACAGATACCATAATAATCTCCATTGCATCCAGGTCTGGTACAAGGACCCTGTTTCAAATGAAAATTGACTCTTTTTTCCCAAAATTTAAGTAAAATTTCCAAATGGTGAGCAAATTAAAGCTTTTAGTGCTTTTCATATAATAATAAAAATAAGTTGAATTTTTGGATTACATTCATTCATAAAGATATTAATAGGGAATCAGTCTACATTCTAACTCTTTAATCAACAGTTAAACATCCTAGAAATCATCAACATTCCAAAATTTGCCACTTTTACAATTTAAATTCCCAACTGAAAGGGTACAGGACTCTGTACCAAAATGGGTCAATTAAGCCCTGTCATACTTTTTATTTTAATAAATTATTTTATGCAAAAACACTCAGATTATGGAATACTTACCCAAACACTCTATAGGCAGAATACATAAGAGGAGTCATTCCATTTTTGTCTATCATATCTACATCACAACCTTTGGCGATTAGGTAGGCCACAATAGCGGTATGACCAAACTGACTGGCTAAATGAATACAACTGAATCCTGTCAGGAAAAACAAACAAATAATCAATAGAATAACATATGTAAAATACCTAATTCTGTAATTTAAACCAAAAACAAGGACTTAGATCCATTTCATAGTGTACCTTGTCCATCACGAAGAGTTGGATCAGCACCAAATCCCAAAAGCAGAACAACCATAGATATATGTCCTTGTCTTTCAAAAAAAGAAACAACATTGATTATGTATAGCTCTTGAATGTCAGAGGTAATATTAATATCAACTTGAATGTCCTAATTGTAATTTTTAAAAAATTGAATAATTTGGTTTGCCAATGAAACACTTTCTAGCATTACTAGATAGAATTGTATAGGGGCTGATTTAGAAGCAACCATTCCTAAGAATGAGTGTGAATTTCATCATATACAATTGATACTAGTTACTTTGTAAATCAAGACAAAGTCAAAGAAATGTACTCGTATTCTTGTTGCTAGTTATTTAGGTGTGCATGACATGCAGTTTAAAGCTACATATATCATGTAATACTATATTGCTGGCAATCTGGCACATTTCATTATCTCTGTTACTGTGCTAACTTGTTGCCCACATTTCACTATCTCTGTTACTGTACTAACTTGTTGCCCACATTTCACTATCTCTGTTACTGTACTAACCTTGTTGCCTTATTTGACACATTTCGCTATCTCTGTTACAGTACTAACTTGCTGCCCACATTTCGTTATCTCTGTTACTGTACTAACTTGTTGCCCACATTTCGCTATCTCAGTTATTGTACTAACCTTGTTGCCTAATTTGACACATTTCGCTATCTCTGTTACTGTACTAACTTGTTGCCCACATTTCACTATCTCTGTTACTGTACTAACTTGTTGCCCACATTTCGCTATCTCTGTTACTGTACTTACCTTGTTGCCCAATGCAAAGGTGTGGAATCCAGATCACCTCCAAATTTGTCAATAATGGCACCTTTTGCAATTAAATACCTGTAATATAAATTTTAAAATTACAATGCACAGACGTCTTGAAAGAATTTTACTAGTAAGATTTTAATCATGTTATATGCAACTGTTCAGTATACAATAAACTTTGTCATGAATGGCAAATGTCTTACTCTTAATGATTTTTTTCTTTTAAAACAACTGGTATTAGTCATCTACATCAGTAATGACAGATATTTAATCTTGTTTTCATAATGTATTCAAAGAATAATGTGTCTTTTATAATTTCCCATGAACATGCATATTCATTATGTTTATGCCCAACAATGCATATCACTGCTAATTATGTTCTCGTGGTAACAAAAAAAGTTCACCAGAAAATAAACTCACGTAAATTTAATGGATATTACAGATAAATATAGTAGATTACAGGTTCATTGTTAAACTTCGCTCTTTTAAGACTTCATTATAAATGGTAATGCAACTAACATAGGACCTCATGTGATGTTAAGAGTCTTGACAATACAAATGCTTTATGCAGTTTGAAGAGGCAAATCCAAGATTTTTTTTTAAACTGAATAGGTATCCAATAATAAGCATATGTACTCGATCGCCCTAACAGTCACAATCAACATATTGATTTTTTTCCCATAAAAGAATTGGCGTTTTGTAGCATTTATAGCTTTAATAAAAAGGCATTTCACACCTAACAATATCTACTCTGTTGTTAATAGCTGCCCAGTGTAACAGGCTGACATTTTCTCGGTCCATTTCGTTGACATCCACCCCACCTTCCACAAGTTCATAAACTCGAGCCATGACCCCAAACTGAACTGCTCGCACAATATCGTATGTGCTATAGTCCTCCTGGGCCTGGCCAGGCTGCAGGTCCACTCTGGCTCCATTCTTGACAGCATTGCTCTCATCACCACCTGCACCTTTCTTCTCATGTGGAAAAAAATAAATATATATAAATGAAAAAGGTGTTATACAATGTTTTTTGTCTTTTGATCTTTGATATGATTAGCTTTCCTTTTAAAGGTGGAGTAATCATGAGCTCTACAATTTCGAAATTTTCTTTTAGATTCATCTTCCAAAAGATTAATTGAAAAGGTATTGCAGCTATCTGCAATATTCAAAGAATGTTCTGGCATTTTTCCTTCATCTGAAAACTTCTCTCATACCAGTGAAGAGGTATATAAATATCAAATACCTCTAATAATGGTTGCACTGGGTTGCAAGAAGGATCTACTTCGTCCATTTTGGTAGATTCTATTTCAAACTAAATTCTTGCAGCATTTTTATTTCCGAAAAATAATTTGGATATCATGGGTAGCTTTTGTATTAAATCCATTTATACATTAACTGTATATTCAGTGTTTTAATGTTAATTTATCCCTATTCAAATACAATATCAAAAAATAAAATAAATAAATAAATTATGAATTTATCCGGAAATTTTACTTGCCTAATATTTATTAATTTATGACGTCATTTCCTTAAGATTTTCTCAAAGGATAAAAGGTGTGAGGAAACTTTAGTTTGGAATATTGTTTTTTCGTGTTTTTCCTATTGTAAAAAAAACTGTCAAAATCTTTTTCATCTTTAGATGATTTCGTTGCCTTCTATGTACACATCTTTCTCGTCACATTATCAAATAATCGAGCGTCAAGTAGTAAACTGAAAGTAGAGAATATTTACTTTAATTGATTGCACCAGATGGTGGTATAATCTGACACTATTTTGGGGTTGTACAGTTACCGCAAGGTGTCATATTAGTAGCTGTATATATTGCTTGTCATCAATTTCAGAAATAATTCCACTATTTTCCACTATTTGTAATCTTGTTAAAAAAAATTGCCTAAAAATCGCCGCATGTCTTTATACTATATTGCAGATGTTTTAATTCTGTTTAAGAAGTCTTCATTATTCATATGGAACAAATTTGGCCTTTATGTGATGAGGAGTGGGTTTAGAGATGCTGTAACTTAACTTTATTCCACACATTCAAATATTCAACTTGGGATATCTAAAATTGATATTTGAAATTGAAATAATAATTCTCTAATGGGATCTATGGGAGTGTATTTGTGTGCTATGTATCATTATTTTACATCTTACCAAATGGGGGAAAATATTGCAAGCTTAAACCTGGATTCCAACTTATTGTGGCTACAATGTAGGTCCCTCTGCCAGTCTCTGATGCTCACATTGTGAAGCAGCTGTGTCCCATAGTGACTGACCCAGACATATCCTCTCCATTTCTTCCTCTATAATAAGTCAATTAATGTCTTTATTGACACCCACAGACTATGACTTCAGCACAGAGGTTGCAGTTTATGCAGGATTTCAATTTATATCTGAAGTTTTCTACATTAATTCTGGTTCATGCATTAAAGGAATGAAAATTTGAAAACCATTTTATGCTTATTTATAAAAAGAAATCCTCATAACATATTTAGAACTTGATATAGATATATGTACACATGTTCAATATGCATTACATTTTCTCTAACTGTTCTATTGTTACCTAGTGATTATTGTGATGTTGATATGTTCACCTACAGATGGATGTTTTCTAAATATCTTTCTTCATGGATGGCAGGGGATGTTATTTGTTAAGACATTAGATTTTCTGTTTATCCCTTTGTTGTTTTTCTGTCGTTTTTCCAAACCTTGATCTGTTCTCTTTACTATCATTCTGTACCTTTTGTTATTTGTTGATGGTTGAATGTGAATCTGTACTCTTTGTCTATCTTTCTGTTTGAGTGCAGATTCCAAAGGCAAGGTTTATTCAACTGATGTATGGGGAAAACAGTTGTGTTGTTTGAAATATGTAATTATTGTTGATTATTGTTTCTTATGGAGTCAAAAATGGGTTAAAATCCATTTTGGTAGTGTAAGGTTTAGGTGAATTTGGAAATAACCATTCAGCTGTTATCTGAGGAAGTGTTGAAAAATCAAAATTAAAAATAAGGTACGTATCATTTTAGCTAAAATGCTTATATATATAATTATTTACATTGTATTTCAACAAAGGAAAATTGAAAAAAAGTTTTAAAGGTATACGGTGGTATATATGCACTTTGTTAAAGAAAAAATAATCAAAAAATCCTTGTTTATTTCTTCCATAAAGGGGATAGGAAAATGGATGATTTTTTTTTTAAATTAAGACAATTATTTCTAATTGTTCCTAAATGCATTCTTATTACCAGTACACTTTAAATGAAAATATAAAAGTATTTTAATCAAATATAATTAAGAATTTCTTAAAATCATTTCATTTAAAGTGTACCGGTAATTTGTTATGAATTGCTATGTATTTTCAGGGGTTATTAGGTAGATGAGGATAAACATAGGGCAGTCCATCAGAACTTCTCTGTGGAATTTCTCCTAAGCTCTTGATACTGATCTTAGATTTATTGACTGCATTCAGGAGGAAACACAAAGTTAAATTAAAAAAGGTGATGTCTGCATTTGGAAGTGACTGCCACTTTTACTACAACGCAACTTGCCTTAAGGTGAGATAAATTTGCAAGCCTTATGAGACTCTGAAGAAGTGTAAATATTTATAATTATTATTGTTGTTAAACATATCAGTGAAGAAGAAAAAAATCTTGTCCAATCACAAGAAAGTTTTTGAACAACTATAGATAAGAAAATTTTCTTTACAATAAAGAAAATATAGTTAAACCCTCTATAATTTTAGGGAGATACATGTCCATTTAGACATTGTGAGGCAGCAAAGACCAATGATGTTACCTGTACATTCTGGAGACAGAAAACCTGCATAAAACCAAACTGTCCATATAGACATTCTGAAGTAGTCCCACAGGTAATAAAACTCACCTGTCCATACAGAAACTCTGAGTCAATCTCACATGTTCTAAACCAAACTATTGATAAAGACACTCGGAGGTTAATTTAGTCTTAAACAGGTAATAAAAAAGAAGTGTCGATTCAGAAACTCTGAGTCTCACTGATAATAAAACCCTAATGTCGATATAGACACCTGATGTAGTTTCAAAGATACTGTAAACCAACTTTTATTCGTGTGCAAGAATATCCACGAGTTTCGCGACCTACTTTAACTCACGAATATTAATCGCCGCAAACCATTTATTTCACTATGTATTTAAAGAGAATGTTTCCTCAGTCGCGGAAATTAATCGCTGCGAATTGTTTTCAAACGGACTAATCATGAATAAAAAATGACACGAAGAATAGTTGGTCTACAGTAATCATACCAAAAAGTCAATGTAGACACTCTGAGGTAGTCTTACAAGTTATACAACCCAAATATCCATATTGACACTCTGAGGTTGTCTCAAAGGTAATAGATCCAACTGTCCATATAGAATTTGATAGTCTCCCAATCTTACTGTCCATATTGTCACTCCAGATCTTAGAGTCCTTATAGTCACTCCAATCTTACTGTCCATATAGTCACTCCCAATCTTACTGTCCATGTAGGCACTCCCAATCTTACTGTCCATATAGACACTCCAAATCTTACTGTCCATATAGACTCTCCCAATCTTACTGTCCATATACCGTATATACTCGCCTATAAGTCGGTCCGCCTATAAGTCGGTTTTATTTTTTAAACTTATATTAGAGGGACTGACCTTCTAAAATATCAATCTTTTTATAACTCGCCTATAAGTCGGACATAGAGTTTTGGACCAAAGTTTAACTCCCAAAAATCCGACTTATAGGTGAGTATATACGGTAGTCACTCCAAATCTTACTGTCCATATAGTCACTCCAAATCTTGCTGTCCATATAGACTCTCCCAATCTTACTGTCCATATTGTCACTCCAAATCTTAGAGTCCATAGAGACACTCCAAATCTTACTGTCCATATAGACACTCCAAACCTTAGAGTCCATTTAGACACTCCAAATCTTACTGTCTATATAGACACTCCCAATCTTACTGTCCATATTGTAGCTCCAAATTTTACTGTCCATATAGTCACTCCAAATCTTACTGTCCATATAGACACTCCCAATCTTACTGTCCATATAGTCACTCCAAATCTTACTGTCCATATAGTCACTCCAAATCTTACTGTCCATATAGTCACTCCAAATCTTAGAGTCCATAGAGACACTGCAAATCTTACTGTCCATATAGTCACTCCAAATCTTAGAGTCCATAGAGACACTCCAAATCCAACTGTTCATATAGACACTCCAAACCCTAGATTCCCTTTTAACACTCCAAATCTTACTGTCCATATAGACACTCCAAATCTTACTCTCCTTATAGACACTCCAAATCTTAGAATCAATAGAGACACTCCAAGTCTTACTGTCCATATAGTCACTCCAAATCTTAGAGTCCATAGAGACACTCCAAATCTTACTGTCTATATAGACACTCCAAATCTTACTGCCCATATAGTCACTCCAAATCTTAGAGTCCATAGAGACACTCCCAATCTTACTGTCCATATAGTCACTCCAAATCTTACTGTCCATATAGTCACTCCAAATCTTACTGTCCATATAGTCACTCCAAATCTTACTGTCCATATAGACACTCCCAATCTTACTGTCCATATAGTCACTCCAAATCTTACTGTCCATATAGTCACTCCAAATCTTAGAGTCCATATAGACACTCCAAATCTTACTGTCCATATAGTCACTCCAAATCTAAGAGTCCATAGAGACACTCCAAATCTTACTGTCCATATAGAACTCTGAATCATACTGTCCATATAGATATTCCAAATCTTACTGTCTATATAGACACTCCAAATCCAACTGTCCATAGAGACACTCCAAATCTTAGAGTCAATATAGACACTCCCAATCTTAGAGTCAATATAGACACTCCAAATCCAGCTGTCCATACAGACACTCTATATCTTGCAGTCCTTATAGACATTCCAAATCTTGCTGTCCATAAAGGCACTCTGAATCTTGCTGTCCATATAAACACTCTAAATCTCACTGTCCATATAGTCACTCCAAATCCAACTGCCCATAGAGACACTGGAGAGGGGGGTTAGGGGCATCTACAGGTGTTACTTGTATGTTGCTGGTAGTAATGATTTCAATCTAAATGTGATTTAAAGATTTACAAAAGCAGTACATAGATTTTACAAATGTTAATTCTTGAAGAGCCTTAAAATTTAAAAAGCAAGATAATACATAGTGCGGGAATACTTCCATGTAACTTGAACAAAAATTATTATCTGCACTAAGTTGACAAACATAATTCAAAATAGGTATTTAGGTTTAGGTACTTATAGTGATAACCAAATGACATATTTAATGTTTTCTTACTTTTTGATTTTAATCAGACCAAAAATAGAGCAGAGATACCTTGCTACTGGGAAACACAACCCATTGGTTGTACCAAAGCAGCTTGTCCATTTAAACATGTAAAATCTCAGCAAGACTCAAACACATCTGTTGAAGGTAAGAGTTATGAATGTGTTTCAGTAGTGTCCTCCGGGATTCTTGTTTGTAAATTACGATAATTATTCAATTTTATGATATAGTCCTGTCCTCATACTCAGTTCATGTATTAATATATTGATAGTTTCACATGTTTAGTATGTTGTGGTAAATTATAATAGTAATTGAAAACTCTCAGTATTTAATTTTTTTGAATCCCCCTGCGGCTCCAGATGTGGATTTTTAATATCTTGTTTTATTTTGTTTTTAAGCAGCCCAGATCCCTGGAACTGAATCCCCTGTGACTCTGATGTAGATGTTTTATATCTTGTTTTGTTTTGTTTTTAAGCAGCCCAGGTCCCTAGATCTGAATCCCATGTGACTCCAGATGTAGATGTTTTATATCTTGTTTTATTTTGTTTTTAAGCAGCCCAGGTCCCTAGAACTGAATCCCCTGTGGTTACTGATGTAGATGTTTTATATCTTGTTTTATTTTGTTTTTAAGCAGCCCAGATCCCTAGAACTGAATCCCCTGTGACTCCAGATGTAAATGTTTTATATCTTGTTTTATTTTGTTTTTAAGCAGCCCAGATCCCTAGAACTGAATCCCCTGTGACTCCAGATGTAGATGTTTTATATCTTGTTTTATTTTGTTTTTAAGCAGCCCAGATCCCTAGAACTGAATCCCCTGTGGCTCCAGATGTGGATGTAGTAGAGGTACAGCCTGTAGTGGTGAATCTGGCTGAAGGTAAGCATGGCTTCAGATCCCAGACAAAGAGAAGGTAAGCATTGCTTCAGATCCCAGACAAAGAGAAGGTAAGCATGGCTTCAGATCCCAGACAAAGAGAAGGTAAGCATGGCTTCAGATTCCAGACAAAGAGAAGGTGAGCATGGCTTCAGATTCCAGACAAAGAGAAGGTAAGCATGACTTCAGATCCCAGACAAAGAGAAGGTAAGCATGGCTTCAGATCCCAGACAAAGAGAAGGTGAGCATGGCTTCAGATCTCAGACAAAGAGAAGGTACGCATGGCTTCAGATCCCAGACAAAGAGAAGGTACGCATGGCTTCAGATCCCAGACAACGAGAAGGTAAGCATGGCTTCAGATCCCAGACAACGAGAAGGTAAGCATTTCTTCAGATCCCAGACAAAGAGAAGGTAAGCATGGCTTCAGATCCCAGACAAAGATTTGTCCTTGTATAGATTTCAAAATTAACTTTTTTACACATACTTGAGTAGAAATCTGTTTATTCTTATGTTAAATATGTTTAGATGTTTTATATTATTTTACTAGATTCAGATGTTGAAATGACATCTCCAGTAAAATCAATCAACAGGGACAGAACAGCTGTGCCAGATAAACCAATAAGAAACCTGATCCCAAAACGTACCCCTGAAACACAGCAACTGACCTCTAATTTTGTACCAAAACACAAAGCTACAATAACAGACAGTAAATCAAATATTAAAAGCAGACTGACCAATCAGAATCCACCAACAGAAAACAGGAAGTCAGTGAAGGAGAGGTTAAAATTAGGAACCTCTAACTCAGGTCAACAGAATTCTGTTAAAGCAAGGTTAGGTGTAAACAAAGCAGAAACATCAGTAAAAAATCGGCTAGGTACAAGTCAACAGACAACAAACACAGAGGAATCTTCACCTGATGATTCAGGTTAATGAACTTGATTTGTTTTCCTTTTTTATTAAATTTATAACACTAAAAAATGTTAATGAAATAAATATTTAAGCATATAAACATGTAAGTACAGAGTGTATAAATCTTAGTGACATTTACAGATGAGAACAGTGATGTGGAAGTTAAATCTTTAGAACAAATTCAGAGAGAGAAAGCCTTGAGATCAATGGGACTTATGGAGTTAAAAGGTGGAAAGATTGTCAAAATAGGTAATGTTTGCCCTTAGTCTGTGTAATGTCAGAACTTGGCATTGTTGTTTTTGAAGCATCCATTGTGTGAAAGTGGCTATAAAACTGATTTCTTCTCAATATTTATGCTTTTTGCTCCACAGCTGACTGGGAGAAGGATCAGAGGGATGACAGTCAGAAATCAGAGGAAGAAACAGAGGATAAGGAAGAGGAAAGCGATGAAACAGAGGAGGAAGAAGAAAAGGGTATCATTGACTTTGTTTACTTTGCATCATTTTCCATAGTCAGTTAATTAATCTATATGTAAATCTCCTGATTGATTTTAAAATGATAATTATTTAATGCATTATATATTGTTTTGCTTTAGTTTCATTTTTTTTTCCTGCTTGCAATGAGTGTGTATTTTATTATTTTTTTTTAGAATATGTTCCTCATATTATTTTTAATTAATTATATATTTTTTATTTTATTAGAGATTGAACACACATTGGAAATAATTCTTTTCTTTTTTAATGCTTGACACACATGCTTACTCATATTAAAAATGTAAGGTTTTAAGGTTGATGTTTCCACAGAAATCTCAGATGAAGAGGAGGATGACCTAACTGAACCAGAACCAATAGAGTTATTTGCCCCTGATGAAGTAGAAGAAGACACAAGAACATTCATTTCTACAGGTTAGCTATAAATACTCAAAAAAATGATACCTTTTTATTGCAAATCTTGTTGACAATCATTTTCCTCATGTTAAAATGGTTTCAATATCTGTGTATCTTTCTAGACAGTAAAACAGTGCCACTAACTTCAAATTTAGACAGTACACCTAACCCTCCTCAAGTTGAAGGTAAGCAATATTAGGAATATGTCTGCATGTATTAAACATTTCATCTAAATGCATACCTATGATTATTTTCATTAGACAAAAGACAGAACCAAAGTAATCTTCCATTTTATGATAAAATTGTTTTTTTTCCAAAATTCAGTAAGCAATAGAAGCAGAAGAATCGTTGTTGAAGATGAGGGAGATACAAAAACTCCAGGTTGGTGAATGAAAAACGATAATGGAATACATACACCTGAAAAATTATTGTAACATGATTCAAGGAAATAAGATATAAGATATTTCCAATACAAATAAAATTCTAAAAAAATTAATATAAGGGTGTCTTTCTATACTTCATTTTTATAAGAAAGAATATTGATACACCTGAATAATAATTGTAACCTGATTCAAGGAAATAGGATATTTACAAAATTTTTAAAACGTAATATCATGATAATGGTCTTTTTAAAATTCAGTATTAAAAGCAAGTTTGAAGAGGCGATTGGGAAGTAGAGTTACAGAGGTCGCCAGAGAGTCAAGTCAGACCGAGAATGAGCCATCAGTCAAAAAGAGGCTGACGACAACTGTGGGCAGTTCAAATAAAGGCACCATCAAAACTATCACAGGTAGTGATTGTTGAATATTCTTGCATTGTAATTATTGTGGATGAGTGTAACCATGTAAACACTCTTATTCTAATTGCCAGGGAAAAATAATTTTGATTCATTATGCTCACAAAACATTTTTAAACCATGTGAGGAATGAAAATTACTTTGCTGTGAGTGGGAATTCATTATAACCATGTTAGCTATAATAATGTTCTACTGTAGTCATGTAGGTTTATTTTCAATGAGTGGATATTACCAGTATATCAAATTCATTTCAAATAAAGAAGTAATAATGATTTTTCTCAGATTTAAAACCTTGTTGATTTATGTGACAAGTGTTTAAAAGGTGTAAAGCATTTTTTTCCCCAAAGGCTAGTACATGTACTGTCTTTTACTTTATATAGGCATTAAGAGTCGTCTTGGCACACTTGGTGATGACACAGTTGTGTTAGACGCTCGTCATAAATTAAAACAGAAGAAGATGGACAATATAGAAAAAATTACTATGTCCATTCCTTTTGGTCCTAATAAGGAAGGAGGAAAGGACCCCCGAGACAGTCCTGTGAATTCAGCCTCAGTAAGGAAGAGAGGCTGGAGAAAAATAAAGGTAAAACTGGATATGTTTGATTCAGAATAGTGGTGTTAAATTTTTATTATTTTTTTTAAAAGTACATTTATTTGCAGATGTTCAGAAGTTGACTAAGCTTGTATGTACATGTATTTGCTGCAAGTAAAATTTTACAGTGGGAATTCAGGGAACTAGTAAAAAAAAGTGCTGTAATTTTTTTATCAGTTGTAAACCAGTGTATATTGATATTATACTGTTTAAATTCCTCTCAGTATCCTGTCAGTAGTTTGCATTTCCTAGAGTTTTATGCTGTGTGGGTAGGTTACAGAGGATGGGACAGACACAGACTCCAGCCGACCAGTAACGCCTGACAGACCGCTGTCAGCAAGGTCATCTCCAGAAAAGTCAACAGTGACAGAGGAACCCATCAGTCAGGTGAAGAGACAAAAGAAAGAAGTTGATGCAGGAGAGCAGCTCCAGAATTTATTAACTCAGAAAATGAGGAACAATATCTGGAGCAACAGGAAATCAAAACCTGTGGGTATGTATCATGTATCAAAACCTGTGGGTATGTGTCATGTACCAAAACCAGTGGGTATGTATCATGTATCAAAACCAGTAAGTTTGTGCCATGTATCAAAACCTGTGGATATGTGTCATGTCTCAAAACCTGTGGGTATGCATCATGTATCAAAACCTGTGGGTATGTGCCATGCATCTAAACCTGTGGGATTATATCGTGTACCAAAACCTGTGGGTATGTTTCATGTATCAAAACCTGTGGGTATGTGTTAAATATCAAAACCTGTGGGTATGTTTCATGCATCAAAACCTGTAGGTATGTGTTATATATCAAAACCTGTAGGTATGTGTCATATATCAAAACCTGTAGGTATGTATTATATATCAAAACCTGTGGTTATGTTTCATGCATCAAAACCTGTGGAAGTGTGTCTTATATCAAAACCTTTGGATATGTTTCATGTTTCAAAACCTGTAGGTATGTGTTATATATCAAAACCTGTGGGTATGTATCATGTATCAAAACCTGTGGGTATGTATCATCTATCAAAACCTGTGGGTATATGTCTTATATCAAAACCTTTGGATATGCTTCATGTTTCAAAACCTGTGGGTATGTATCAAAACCTGTGGGTATGTATCATGTTTCAAAACCTGTGTGTATTTGCCATGTACCAAAACCTGTGGATGTGTGTCTTGTATCCAAACCTGTGGGTATGTATCATGTATCAAAACCTGTGGGTATGTATCATATATCAAAACCTTTGGGTATGTTTCATGTATCAAAACCTGTGGGTATGTATCAGGAATTGAAAGGTCTGTATACCATTTAGAAATCCATAGGCATGTCATAAATCAAATATCTTGTGGTGTTTGTGGTTGGTTCTGAGCTTTGTAATATTAAATTTACGTGGTTAAGTAGCCCTTTAATAATTTAGTCTCCCATAAAAAATTGAACAATTCGTAGATGTTGCAAAATACTGGACATGTAGAACTAAAGAGATTGTGTTAGAGATTCTATTTTTTTCAATTTACAAAAAAATATTGTCATAGTCAAAAAAAATTGTTTTTAGAAACATAGCATAGACTTTGTACTTTTGAATGTCTTTTGCGACACATTTTACTACCCCCAGATTTATTTAAAAATAACTATATGAATTAAAACTGAGAATTGTAGATTGACAAAAGTTTTAATTTTTTTAGGTGAAACACTTGATAGTTTAGGAATTGGTATCATTGATATAAAAGGAGGAAAGGTCGTCAAAATGAGTAAAAGTAAGTGTTGATATGCAATCTGTTGTACCATGAATAATTTACATGTACATTATGTAGTGTTAATTGTTTGTTTGATATGATTATCTTTTTCCCTTTAATGCAGCATTATAAAATACATTTATTTCATTTGTAGAGAAACAGGAGGAAAACAGAGAAACAAAGAAGGAAGACAAATTCCTGGCTCAGATTGAAAAATTATCCAAAGGCTCAAAAAAGGAAGTCAGAGAGAGAAAGGTGTACGTTCCTCCAGCATTACAGAAAGCTGGTAGGTGAATTTCTGTACTTATTGTCTGTATTTATTTTCATATAAAATCTCAAACTCCTGATCTTTTGAAGTACTTACACGTATATAAATATGTAGAATTTAGGCATTCTAAGGATATGTTGGGCATGGTGGCATAAAGTATTGCTTTTGTAGCTCACCTGAGCCAAGGGCTCAAGTGAGGTCTTTTGATCGAAATTTGTCTGTTGTCTGTCATTGTCATGAATGTTGTCATCAGAAACTTTTCACATTTCCATCTTCTTCTCCAGAACCACTGGGCAAATGTCAACCAAACTTGGCACTGAGTATCCTTGGGTAAATGGAATTCATGATTGTTCAAATGAAGGGCCACAAATTCTTCCAAAGGAAGATAATTAAGCATACTGAAAATTGGGTGCGGTCATTAACCGAAAAGATAAAACTTTCAGCTTCCTAACATAGTGTAAAATCAAGTTTAAATAAATTATGTTGCTGGGGGAAGGTTGGAGCCACAATGGGTGGTCAAAGTTTTACATAGGAATATATATGGAAAATCTTTAAAAATCTTCTCAAGAAAAGCAAAGCCATGATTAGTCATATTTGTATGGAAGCATTCTCAGGTAGTCTAAGATTCAAGTTTGTCCAAATTGTGATCCCTGAGGGTAGTGCAAGGAACACTACAGGAGATCAAAGTTTTACGTAGGAATAGGTAGGATTTTTTTTTACAGTTCTTCTTCCCAGGAACATAAAAGTCATGACTAGTTCATATTTATATGGAAGCATACTCATGGCAAGTAGATTTAAGCTTGTTTAATTCATGACCCCAGGGGTATAGAGGGGTCTTATTGGGTGATCAATGTTTTATATAGGAAAAGAATCTTTAAAATATTCTTCTCAAGAGCAACAAAGACATGTTTAGTCATATTTATATGGAAGCATAAACCTCAGGTAGTGTAGATTCAAATTTGTTCAAATCATGATCCCTGGGAAGATGGAAGAGCCACAAAGGGTGGTCAAATTTATACATAGGAATATGTAGGAACAATCTTTAAAAGTCTTCTTCTCAAGAATTAAGAACAGCAAAGCCATGATTAGTCATATTGATAGGGAAGCATCTTCAGGTAGTGAAGATTCAGTTACTGCCAGGGATAGTGAGGGCCACAATGGATCAAAGTTTTGCTTATGGATGCATCCTCAGGTAGTGTACATTCAAATTTGTTCCAAATCATGACCCCCAGGGGTAGAGAGGGGCCACAGTATGTGATCTAAGTTTTACATTGGAATATATAGAAAAAATATGCTGTAGGTGAACAAAAGAAAGGCGATTAGTGACTCAGGTGTGTGTTATGGCCCATGGGCCTCTCAAATTTAAAGTTCTAAACAGCATTCTTGTTTATTTATGTACAGATTTCTGTCTTAATATCTGTAGATTTAATGTCATATAAGTAGTTGACAGTCCATGACTAGGTAGGACTGTAAAGCAGGATTGAAAAATGGTCACTTTTTGAAAATAATGCAACAAGAGTAGGAAATAAATACAAGATTTATCAAATTATCTACTTGTTGATAGTTAGGATTTTGTTTACAGGAGCCTCTGGTTTAGATGCTGGAGACAAGAGAGGAAGAATTAGTTACACTGAGGTAGGGATAAATTTTACTTTTTTTCTGGTAAAGGTCTCAGAAACTGGGCTAGATTTGTAGGTCACCAAGTTGTACTGTTATGGAAAATACATGTAAAAACCTTGTAAATGTTTGACAATACATGAGTATGTGGCATACAGTTGTTTTCTTCTGCATACGATATATTTGTACAGATTGCATTTCATGGTATTTTCTATGTAAGTATACTGAAAATTTACAACAGATTTTTCTGTTTGTGTTTTGAAGAACAAGAAGTTCTAAAGTGTTTACTTTTTGTTGTTTGATTCTTACTACAGAGATTTCAGTGACATGTTTACATTGCAATTTTCCAGAAATGTACTCATACTTTCAGTCATAAATTGCAGTGTACATGTATTTCTAGACAATCAGGAAAACACCGATTTTAGAAATTTGGTGTATTGAAATTCTAAAAATGGAAGGAAAATTATCCATTGGTTTGTTTTGCTCAATCCAGTATTCACTGTATTTACATGTATGTTCACAATGAATGAATAGTATGATCAGTTATTCATTGAAATTTGATTTGAATGGAAGTGGAAGTTACTTGTGATTTTCCTGATAGTTTCTTACATTGAACACAAACTCTACATAGCTTTAACTCACAAAACAGATTTTATACATGTATGTACCTACTAGATTTTAAATATAAAAGTAGTTTAAGTCATAAGTATAACTGATATACTGGAACTTAATTTTAAACTAATTTCAATATGCAGTTACTATATTCTACCATTGTTTTCTACAGAGTGAGTCAGGGGTTACAGAGGAGGACTCTAATGACATTCAGGTGATGACCTTCTCTGAAATTATGGCAGCCAAAAGTCAGAGGCAAAAACGACTGTCAGAAAAAAAGAAAGCAGAGTTAGCCAGAAAGGATTCGGTGGAGGAATTACCTCAGGAAAACACAGGTACAGATACATGTACAACTATAGACATGACAAATGAGTTTTAAAATTGACATTAAATATTGTTCATGTACATGTAGTTCACAATATTTTGTTAATTATGGAATGGTCCAGATTAACTTTGGATTGGTTGTTGTGATTTTTACTGTAAGCAATATGTACACGTACCTTGCTGTGTGATAAATATTTGCGAAGTTTAACCCCCCGACTACTGCTCATAGATGTTTGTTATTGTGAACTTGATTTATTTACTTAGAGATGTCTAGATATCAAATATTTATCATCACTTTCCACTTTTCCATTGAGTAATTTTGAATGTAAGTTGTCTTAGGTGTGTGTAGAATAGCAGGATTGTACACACACCTTCTGATGGGTTTGTGTTTGTGATGAGAATTTGTCAATGAGTAGTTTATGCCTCTTATCATTAACATTCACAGAAGACAGCAATGAAGCTCCTACAGATGTGTTGAAGATGGCTCAGATGATCACCGGGACATCAGTTAGTCCTGTTAAGTCAGGGGAATCCCATCATCATCGCAGCAAAAAGAAATCCAAGTGGAGGAAGAAGCATAAGTCATCTAAAGAGAAAAAAGACTCTAAAGAAAACAAACTTGGTGACTTTGTGGAGGAGTCCACTCAGGACACCAATAAGTCATGTGACACTGCAATCTCAGAGGACTCCCAGAATTCCAATTTTGTCAGTTCCCAGCATGCCTTGGAATCTGTGGATCCTGTTTTACTCAAAACAAAACGGCAAAATTCAGAGACGGGAGGAAATACTTCTGACAAGGAAGAGATGTAAGTGATAGTTGTTTATCAATTTGTACATGTACAATATATACTTTCGTGTCATTAAAACAAATTTATAAATTGGGTAACCCATTAATTAAAATCAGATAGAATATTTTGTTCTTTCTTTTATACATAACACCAGCATAAGCCATTTTCAGTTAAGCATGAGTTGTGATTTTTGGCACCTCCTAGTACTATTAGTGACATAGTTTTGTAGTGACCAGGTACGGTATGGTACTTGGTTAGTAAATTTTATACCTGGTGAGATGACAGAGATATCAGAAAAACTTTAATTTTATACATTTTAGAAGTCCAGCAAAGAAAAGATCAGAACAACTGCTGTCAGATAGCTGGTTAGATCTCGGTGAGGAGGATTCAGAAGAAGTTGTCACTCAAGATGAAGATGACCTTCTGCGAGAAATTGATGAACTTTTAGCTTAATTATTGTCTATTGTTTATCAAATTTCACTTTGATCTCTTTATTTGTCAATTAATTGGTATATCTGTGAAATGCCAGGTGCTGGAAAAAATTTCAAGGAAATCATAATTTTATTTATTTCTCCAGAGAGCTTTTGCCTAATCATTTGTTTTTGTGATTAGTGCATTATATTCATTTGATTGAAAACATCATTTCTGTTTATAAGACCTGAAGTCTTTTCTATCATGAAATCATTTCTGTTTATAAGACTTGATGAGGTCTAATCTATCATGAATTGTAAACAAATATTAAATATATTCATGAGATTTTTTTTTGTTCTTAAGTCAAACAAACAAAAAAAATGAATCAAAAAGGTATGAAGGAGGTTGTCTTAAAAAAAAAGCACTATTCAAGCATTGCTCATATCTTAAGAAAATGATATTCTGTTAACCAGATTTTAATTTTCACTACTTGTTTAATGGACAGAGATTCAGGTTGTAGAATGGATGTATCATTAAAGTGATTACAACTGTAACAGAAAAGGGAAAAATGTATGGCTTGACCAAGAATCGAACCCAGACTCCTGCATCACTAGTCAGGTGTTCTACCAACTGAGCTACCCAGACTGATATCCATGGCCAATACTACCAACTACCAGCAACCCAGGCTGATATCCATGACCAAAACCTTTTAACCTTTGAAGGGAGCTAGCTTTCATTACAACCCTTAATGACTTGGTAAAAAATTCCAGTCAAATAAGACCATTGAGGGATGTATACTATTACCTTGAAGGGATGGCTAGCGTACTATCATTTGATTGAAATGTTTATGGTTGGCATGCTATTTGAGGGTGAGGCTCACGTATTAAAAGGGTGTAAAGCCAGCTTGCTATCAATTTAGTACATTTATAACTGGACCAAAACTGAAAGAGGGGTAGTGTTTCTAAAGAATTTCAAAGAAATTTCTATTTTAGTAACATGGCGGTGCCATTTGTCAAAATCATAAACCAATATAGAGAATTATCTATCTAAGTGTAGTCTTCTTGTAGGAGGAGTAGCATTTAAAAAAAATTCAAAGAAATTTTTATTTTTAGTAACCATGGCAACACGTACCATTTGTTGAAATCGAAACCAATAAACAGGTAAGGTATCTTAGTAAAATTTATTTGTATACACATGTATATGTACAAAGTCTTATTGAAATTGGAACAAAAGTAGAAGAGGAGTACGTCTTTCTTTTTGTTTTCGAAGAATATCAAAGAAATTTCTATTTTTTAGTAATCAGGGCTAGATTGTTTGCCAAAATCAAAAATTGATATATAGAATTATGTATCAAAGTATAGTCTAAATTTAATGAAGTTTCCTTTGACCTTCACCTCACTTTTCTTAAATTTTGTGTAGTTCAGTTTCAAAGAAACTATTCAAGATTTTTATGCCCCGCCATGAATATGGCCGGGGCATATAGTGTTTTTCATGTCTGTCTTCTGTCCTTCCGTCACACTCTGCGTTTAGCTCTGTTCAAAGCTCAGTTTCAAAGAAACTATCCAAGATAGTTTTATCAAACTTCATATGATGATAGATATTGATGAGAGCTATGCAACTGCATCAACATTTTTTGACCTTGACCTTTCCTTTGACCTTGACCTCACTTTTCTTCAATTAGTGTTTAGCTCAGTTTTAAAGATACCATTCAAGATAGTGTAATCAAACTTTATACGTTGATACATACTGATGTAAGCTGTTCAACTGCATCAACGTTTTTTGACCTTGACCTTTCTTTTGACCTTGACCTCACTTTTCTTCAATTAGTGTTTAGCTCAGTTTTAAAGATACCATTCAAGATAGTGTAATCAAACTTCATATATTGATACATACTGATGTAAGCTATTCAACTGCATCAACATTTTTTGACCTTGACCTTTCTTTTGACCTTGACCTCACTTTTCTTAAATTAATGTTTAGCTCAGTTTTAAAGATACCATTCAAGATAGTGTTAAACTTCATATGCTGATACATACTGATGAGAGCTATTCAACTGCATCAACATTTTTTGACCTTGACCTTTCCTTTGACCTCACTTTTCTTAAATTAGTGTAAAACTTCATATGCTGATACATACTGATGTAAGCTATTCAACTGCATCAACATTTTTTGACCTTGACCTTTCTTTTGACCTTGACCTCACTTTTCTTAAATTAATGTTTAGCTCAGTTTTAAAGATACCATTCAAGATAGTGTTAAACTTCATATGCTGATACATACTGATGAGAGCTATTCAACTGCATCAACATTTTTTGACTTTGATCTTTCCTTTGACCTCACTTTTCTTAATTTTAAAATTTGTGTTAGTTCAGTTTCAAAGAAACAATCAAGATATTTTTATCTAAAGATGTATACAGAACTTATTGGTGAGAAGTACTGGTATTCAACTGTGTCCATGACCTTGACCCTACTTCTATTTTGCCTCTGGCTCAATTTCAAAGAAACTATTCAAGATATTTTACATAATCTTATGCATTAGAGCACTGACACATAATTGGTGAGAATTTATCAACTGTGTCAATTTTTTTTTTTACCTTGACCCTCCAAATGACCTTTGACTTTACTATTTATTGTGTATATATAAAACTTAGTTTTAAAGAAACTATTAAAGATATTTTCATAAACTTCATACACTTTTATAAATTTTCATGTTGCATTATTGATGAACCTAGGGCAAGGCATTCATTTCCTAAGGACATATTTCTCATTCCTTTTAATTAAAAAAAAAAGACTAACTTTTCTGTTTTTTAAGAGTTCTATCATTTTTATTTATAATCTCTTATTTTAAATCAGAAAATGTGCATTATATACTTCCTAAAGAGATAAAAAAAATTGATTCTTCATTTTATGTATCGATGCATTGTATTAACCCTCTCTGTATCACTGTATTGTTTCACCCCTGGCTAACATATATGTCTACCATTTTGTATCCAAATATGGAGATGAGGCTAGCATACTGTGAAATCTCAAATTTTTGTGGTGGGTTAATTTTTGTTGTTTTAATTTGTAGTATGAAGAGACCCATGAATTCATGTCCTCAATAAAATCTTTAAATTACAAATTTAAGTATCATATATGTCTACCAACCATGAAATTCAATTCCCTCAAATTGGTATTTTTTCTGTAAACTACAGAAATTTGACCCCATGAAAATAAGTTATTTTACAGTAATATTCTTTAAGGGTGAACAGAGTTTAAAAGGCAGCATACTTTCCACTGAGGGGCTGGCATAATTTATGGTTGGTTTACTCTCTGTCCTTCTATACAAGGTACTCTCTTTATAAGAGGAAATAAAGAACAAATCCCTAATGCACATGTAGAAAGGTGTAATTACCCTGGTATATCAAAATTTACTTTAAGAAGAGACAAAGAACAGCTAATAATCTTCATTTTTTTATTTAAAACCAGAATACAACAGTGAAAATAAGCAATTTGATGTCATCAATGAACCACATTCTACTGTATTATGCATGAAAAAAAACCCACAACATCCCAGTTGAATCATATGACTACATATTCAGCCTTAACAAGAAAGATAAAACCATTATGCTACATGCTTGAAGAATATTTAAGCTAATTTAATTTTGTATACCCATTCATTCAATTGCTACTGGACAAGCTGTTTTTTAATGAGAAATATCAATACATACAAAAAAATTTATAAACAATAACAAGTTATGTTTATACAACTTAAAACAGTTTATTAAACATTTTAAAATAAGCATTTGTTTCTGGGGTCCTATTATTTTTTTCAGATTATATGTTCTTTTTTCTTAAGTATGTCATGGATATTGTATCACATTTTTTTTAAATGTATCCAAAGGTTAAGTATAATGTATTCATATCTGATACATATACATGTAGGTACTGATTATAAAGCATGTATACATGTATATAAAATCTGTGATAAAATGCTAGATACAATCAAGTCTAAATACCAAGATTTCATTTTTCTTTAAGACAGTTTGTTTTCATTTAGCGGAAACAAGTACAAGCAGTTATTACAATGAAGTTTGTTAATTATACTACACAAATAAAGGTACAAAACACACTGTGTCTCAGTTCCAACTCCATCTCATTCTGAAAATGGAAACGATTGGATCTTCAAAGACACACGGGAAACTCGTAACCTGTCCATCTCCAAGACTAGTCAGCAAAATATACCCAATAATCTAATAACTACAAAAAATTGACACTTCTAAAAATAGAGAGGGATTGCATTTTTCAGATAAAGAGGTAGACACATCAGTTCGTGGAAATCATGTATGGAACGAAATTTTTACAAGTCAAGTTTTAATTTGATTTCCATCAGCAAATTTGGTTTTAATTCAATCTGAAATACTGTGACTAGACTAGAAAAAAAAAATTTACAATAACTTTTATTCTGTCGTATTAGTTGTAGTCTGTAAAGAGAATTTATTTTTTTGCATAATATCCTGCATCATACATGTTATTGAATCCTAGTAACTGAACTGTTTACTAACATGAAAAAAAGACCAACTCTTTCCTTATATATACTTAAACAAGTACCAGGAAAATACGCACTTACATGTACATGTGAATTAAATTAAATGTATGAAATAAACAAGAATGTATGTAAAGAGAAGCAAAAATGCCCTTATCGTCCTTTAGTAGAACATTATTCCATTGGGTATAAACATCCATTACAACTGGCAAAGCTAAAAGCTTCCATTAACGGTTTCACAAGTACATTGGTTATGATTTATCCAATGTCCAGTATTTTACATGTACTCTGATTATTTGTTACAAAATACATAACTTTGTGATTCATTAAGATTCCTTATATCTTATCATTACTAATCATTCATTGTGACCGTCTTCCTATCTGTTAATATAAATACACAGTCATACTTCAATCAGATCAAATTTCACAATTTTTCTTTTGACTTGGCACTCTCAGTGTTAAAAATGTAACTTTGAGGTTAACAAAACTTGGCGACATTTTTATGCAAGTATTATACAAGCCTCCAAAGCTGGCCAAAATGTTTCAAAATGGCCCCGATTTGCTTAAGCAAGGTGATATTATCAATTTGTAATAGTACAGCGGAATTTTACTTCATTTTACACAAACACTCACTACTTGTATAACAATGTCTAATCTGTAATCAGGTTTTACTGTATAACTTCAATAAAAGCTTGATAAACATTCAGATACAGTCATCAATTCTACAAATCCAAATCCTTTAAATAAAAGTAAATATGCTTTTTTTTTCACTTATAAAAGTATTCAGTCATAATTCATGTCTGTAACTTTATAACTCCAAAAATTATATCTTGTAGAAAAGGTAATACATGTTATATTTAGGCATAAATATTTCACTTATTTTTCCTCTGTATGAAAGAGAAACAAATTGTAACAAATCAATATTTTGATCTAAATCTTTAATATATAATATGTAATAAAATATATTTAATACTATTAAAAATACTAGAATGTATGTATATATAAATTTACAAACAACCTGACTTAATTTCGTGACATATACACAAGCAATAAAGCTCGGCGCAGGACATTTGAGCAGAATTTCTAAAGGTGTGGACATTTTAGCTAGAATTTGGTGGACAAAAAAATTGGCTACCTGCAAAAACTCAATCAAAAGTTTTTATTGGATTTTTTATTTCAGAAAGAACTTTAATTCTTGTAAAGAATGAATGTAAAGTCAGCAAAAATTGACCAATTTCAGCAGGTTAATGACCAAGTTTCCAACTCTAACAACTTACATCAAAGAAACATGAGTTAACAGGCTCCACAACCAACAATAGAGCAAGAGAAAAAGGACTTTGTATTGGAAGTCTTCCAGAACAGTAAAATAAGTAGAGACTATTCTGTCTGCTGAGTGGGATTGAGATACAAAGCCAGATGTAAATAGTGTAAATAAGTTGTGTTTTAGTATTGACTACTTTAGCATTTCAAAAGAACTGTATTAAAATGAACTACATCCTGCTAAAAAACTATCTCCCCATTTGTGAAAAGGGGGCACCATGTAAGATAAACAAAAGGGCTACGTGTATATGTTTATTTGACTTAATGTCCATATCCTACTTCTAACTTAGCAAAAAAAAATTTTTTACACCTTCCTCTAAAATATTTCTCCAAAATGTTCTTTTTTTTTTTTTACTAAAACTTCCTGTCAATCTGCTTAAATGTCCAGCAAAGATAAAGCTTTTCCTGTATAATTACAACAACAATCTATACACAAGTGCATTTCAGTAAAATAATACTCTAAAGCTCTGCTAAATACACAGTATAAATATTTTGGTCAAAATAAAATCGCAGACATAAATTTAATTTTTCTATTTTTAATAAATGCATAACATTCTTGTTATAAATTAATTTCCTGATCAGACTATTTATTTGGTGAAAAATAGAGTAGATATTAAGATTTCTTAAAAAAATAACTTTGAATGCAGATAACTTTAAGTACTGTGTATATATGAAACTTTCTATAAAGGCACTAATATCTACACTAACTGGCAATACCAGTCTACCAACAAAGATTTAAAAACAAAAAAGTATATATATTTCCTTTCAAAACATGAGTGATTTTCAAAACAGTGTGATATCTTAGTGTAAAATATCTTATTAAAATGAATACACTATGTTTTCCTACAAGATGCTCAATAAGCAGGCAAAGTGTATACATCAGAAGTGACCTGAGGAATACCCCTGACATGAGGAATACCTCTGATTAAGGAATACCCCTGACATGAGAAATACCCCTGACATGAGGAATACCCCTGACATGAGGAATACCCCTGACATGAGGAATTCCCCTGACTGAGGAATACCCCTGACATGAGGAATACCCCTCAGGAATTACACTGTGATCCAATGTGTTGCCAAACATGCTTACACCCTAAACCTGTATTTCCCGAGTAATGTAGACTAAGACACTGTCACTGTTATGTATTAGTTCAAGGATTTCAACAGAGGTCAGCAAAGAAAGAATGTAATATCAATACATGTAATAATATCACAACAACTTTGAATAAAAACACTCAGCATTCATTATACCTTTAAAAGACATTTTGTTTGTTTACAAAATTGGTTCATAAATAAAAAAAAACACAGGGAAAAGTCTGTATTACTATTTTTCAGTAAAAATTATGGGGTACTTTAAAGCATTTCAATTAATTTATTCAGTAGCTAGATACATTTCCAAATCACTGCTAAAAGCCTTTTACATGTCCATATACATATTTCAAAACAAAAATGCTTAAGAAAATGTATTTACTTAATAGATAAAAGAATTACTTGATGTTTATACATAAATAACAGTTCACATGATAGAAAATAGTATATGGTTTGGTTATAAATGTTTAAATAAAAACAATATTTGGTAGGTGGTGAAACCCTTAAAGCTTCTTACAATACTACCCTGTGGAATACTTTTAAGACTGTACTCAGATCCTTGTTCTTTTAAAGCTGCAGTGTACATATGTTGTGATTAAGGGTGAATATGATTACACTATGATGGTTTGGTGTTCTGAAATCTCTCAATCCTTGCTGATCTCTCGACAAACACAGATAGCTAAAATAATTCCAACCACCTGAAAGAGAAAAACTTGAGCTATTCACTCTGCTTATTGTGTCAATTTGTCATAATTCTAATTGGAGTATACTAAGTTCTTCATTTAGTATAGAACTATTTAAATGGAACTAATACCCCTGCTGGGCAACCAGAAAAAAGGTTATCTTTAAAATACCTTAAATTAGATGTATTGTGAGCGAGCTCACAAAATAATACCCACAGCTGCAATTTTTTTCAAAGAGCCCATTTGCAATTTTGTAAATGTGAACTTGAACTTGCCAATATGACCTTGGTTAATAAAACAAGACACATCCTCTGGTACTAAGTAATCTTTGAGTAAAATATGGACATTGATGATTCTTCTTTCAAAAATTATGGACCTGACATAAATTTACACTTTTCTGCCAGAACTTGCAGGAATGACCTTGGGTCATGGTCATGACACCTGATATTTCTGTGAAGTAAGAACTTCCATATGTTTATCTATTACAAAGTTATAGACTAGACACACATTTAACACTTTTTTGCTATTGACCTTGAAATTGCCAAAATGAACTGATGTTGGATCACAATATATCCTTGAGTCAAAAGTAATCTTTGTGTCAAAGATTAACTTCCAATTAGCCTCCATTTGAGAGTTAGACAGGACAGGAATAAAATACTTTTTGCCAGTGACCTTGAACTTACTGGAATTACCTTGGGTCATGGTCAATTCATACCCTCAAATCAAGTGCAACATTTGTCACAAGTATGAACCTCTACAGTTATCCATTACAAGATATAGTGAAGACAGGAATTAAACATTTTTCTATGGCACCTTAAAATTTATCAAATGACCTTAGTTTATAGTTAAGATCTAGACAAAGCTTCAGTTCATCAGCATTCCTTGTATGAAGTATGAAGTTTCAATGTTTTCCATAAAGAAGAAGTAGACAAGACAAGAATTTTGTAACTTTTCTCTGAGTGACCTTGATCTCAACAAAATGACCTTGGGCCATGATCAATTCATACCCTCAGATCATATGCAATATTTGTTAAGTACGAGTCTCTAAAGTTATACATTACAATGTTATGGTCTGGACATGAATTAAACATTTTTCTACAAGACCTTAAACTTGATCAAATGACCTTGGTTTAAGGTCAAGACACACCTTCAGATCATAAGCATATTTGTATGCAGCATGAATTAACTTTTAATGTTTCTCCATAGAGAAGTTGTAGACCATACAAGATGACCTTGGGTCAATGTCCTGACACGCTCTCAGGTCATAAACAATCTTTGTATCAAGTATGAACATTAAATGATTTTCCATTACAAAAGTAAAAGCCCAGACAAGAATAAACACTTTTTTTGCCAGTGACCTGGAACTTGCTGGAAAGACCTTGGGTCATGGTCAATACATACCCTCAGATAATATGCAATATTTGTAAAATATGAACTTCTTATCTTTTCCAAGAAATGGTCAGGACAGGACTTCAACATTTTTCTACAAGTTACCTTGAACTTGATCAAATGGCCTTGAGTCAAAGTCAGGACACACCACTGGGTCATGACCAATCTTTGTATGAAGTATAAACTGTTTTTCCATAAAAAGTTGTAGACTGAACAAGAAATGTATACTTTCTCTGCCAGTTGAATTTGCAAGAATGACCATCAAGGTCATGTCAAATCCTCAGGTCATAAATAATTTTTGTACCAAGTATCAACTTCCAATGATTTTCCATTACAAATTTATAGAACAGACAAGACTGCAGGGGCAAACCAGCAAGGTGATACCTATACCCCCCCCCCCCCCTTCTGCACCACCACCACCAACTTCATTTGCGGGGTTGAAGCTGGCCATGTGGTTCTGACAAAGATAAAATTCAGAGTTGTTGAAATTTTTAAATCACTGTCAAGACATTTGGTCTGACAAAGAGAAAGGTTCTATCTGACCAGACAAAGTTTTGTCAGACCAGACACTTGTACCTTATATTGTACAGAAAGAAAATAATTGCCCCAAAATGCCTTTTATTTTTTTCAACAGCATTTGATCTCACAATTTTCTTATCTTAAGATACGGAGTCTTTAATCAGAGACATAAATAACATGATTAATGTCTCTGCTTTAACATATTTGATTGAACATTGTTACCATGTGGCCATTTCTGCTGTTTTCATTACCTCCAACTGCATGCCCTGATCCTGATCTTTCGAAAATTTGCATCAGGCACAATTTTTCCTAACAGACATTTAGACCGACATTTTCTTGTAAGTTATCAGTCCAGAAAATTTTTTACTGGCCTTGCTGACAGGATCGATAGTTTTTCGCAACTCTGAAAATTGTTAAAAGGTAATAACACTGACAAGAACAGCAGACAAATTTTGATCAGAACAGCACATTTGAACCTCTCCCTGAATTGACCCTGCCATGCATAATGAAGACAATTTGTAGTCCTGTATTCCTGAGAAGACTTCTATAGACTTCCCTATATAATTTTACATAAAGAGACCCATTTTGTTGCCCTATCAGCTATAGATTTATCAATCTTGAATCTAAACTGGTACGTTTGTGATAAATACCTCAAGAGCAGCTATTCCAATGGCCACTCCAAATATAATCCAGTTGTACTTTGCTATAAGGTCTTTCAATCCTGTGACACATCCCTGAAATTAACACCTCATAGATATTAACATAAAGTTCAACTTTTTTTATAGTTTTTGAAAGACTTTACAATTTTGAAGTTTTCAGGATTTATTAGAATATCAAAAATATATACCCTTTTTTATATTATATCATTGACTATATGATTATACTTTCTAAAGAAACATTTTAAGTTTCCTTTTCCAAAGTTTATACTTGCTTTTGACTGATAATAATTTTGTGTTTTATTAAAACATTCTGTAGCATCTCTTGGCAAAGCACTGTCCAGGTTATCAATGGCCTTGTCTTTGTCCCTCAGTACACAGCATGATGCAGGAAAAGGTTGCAGCTACATAAGATGAAGTTAAGTTTACTTTTGTGCATTATAGTAAGCATTTTAAAAATTGTTTACCTAAACACTGCTAGTAAATTTACCTGAACCACTGTAAAATTCAGGTAAACTATAAACTCTCATGTGTTAAACTGAGCATTAAAATTAATATCTATAAATTTGTTTACCTGAGCATTATATGTAAATGTAAGCCATTTACCTATTAGTGTTATAAATATATCGGTAATTTGATTGTTGTTAAATTTGTTTTCCTCAGTATTAGATGTATTGTTTACCTCACCAGTAAATATTGTGTGCTGCAGGTAAAGGGAAAGTAATTCAAAATGCAATTTGAATAAAAATATTGCAGACAGATATCTCTTTAATTACAGTAAAGAAATATCTCTTTTTCAGCAGTATTTTATTACTAACGGTATATAATCGATACTACGTGCTTGACATTTATTTTTTCTACATTGCACCAAAAATAGACTAAGAAATTCCATATTAATACAACTGGTTATGTTTATTTTAACCCTACTTCTCTCACCGAGTTTGGCTAGGACGTCACCAAATGTAAACAAGATTGCATAGTTTGCTTAATGAGTTTGTTTCATTTAATCCTTGAATCATGTAATAAAACAATTATTGCTGTTTTTTCAGTCAATACAATGATTTAGCCACCCAAAAAGTACAATATTCACCACTCCCTTCCAGCTCGGTGAATAATGTACTGACTCCTGAGGTGGCTAAGTCATCATATTGACCCCCCAAAACACCAATAATTGTATAATTTTACCTCAGAATTATATGTAATGTTTACCTCAGCATTATATGTTATGTTGAATTTGTTCCAGTTGTCAGGCTCATTTGATCCACAACACTCCAGCTAAAATAAGTCAATGAGAACAAAACTAAATTGGAAGTTGTGTATTATTATATGATATATCAATGAATATTGATATTAAATTAATATGATACATGGATATGTATGATGACACAATGAATTGCACCTCAATCTGTACAAAGTCCCAGACATTCCTTATGTTTTTACTGGTCTTGTACTTGCCTCAATCTGTACAAAGTACCAGGCATTTTTTATGTTCTTACTAGTTTTGTACTTACCTCAATCTGTACAAAGTCCCAGGCATTCCATAATGGTTTTGTACTTACCTCAATGTGTACAAAGTCCCAGGCGTTCCTTATGTCCTTACTGGTTTTGTACTTACCTCAATCTGTACAAAGTCCCATGTACTTTCCGCAATGTGTACAAAGTCCCAGGCATTTCTTATGTTCATACTGGTTTTGTACTCACCTCATTCTGTACAAAGTCCCAGGCATTCCTTATGTTCTGACTGATTTTGTACTTACCTCAATCTGTACAAAGTCCCAGGCATTCCTTATGTTCATACTGGTTTTGTACTTACCTCAATCTGTACAAAGTCCCAGGCATTTCTTATGTTCTGACTGGTTTTGTACTTACCTCAATCTGTACAAAGTCCCATGTACTTTCCGCAATGTGTACAAAGTCCCAGGCATTTCTTATGTTCATACTGGTTTTGTACTCACCTCATTCTGTACAAAGTCCCAGGCATTCCTTATGTTCTGACTGATTTTGTACTTACCTCAATCTGTACAAAGTCCCAGGCATTCCTTATGTTCATACTGGTTTTGTACTTACCTCAATCTGTACAAAGTCCCAGGCATTTCTTATGTTCTGACTGGTTTTGTACTTACCTCAATCTGTACAAAGTCCCAGGCATTTCTTATGTTCTGACTGGTTTTGTACTTACCTCAATCTGTACAAAGTCCCAGGCATTCCTTATGTTCTGACTGGTTTTGTACTTACCTCAATCTGTACAAAGTCCCAGGCATTTCTTATGTTCTGACTGGTTTTGTACTTACCTCAATCTGTACAAAGTCCCAGGCATTCCTTATGTTCTGACTGGTTTTGTACTTACCTCAATCTGTACAAAGTCCCAGGCATTCCTTATGTTCTGACTGGTTTTGTACTTACCTCAATCTGTACAAAGTCCCAGGCATTCCTTATGTTCTGACTGGTTTTGTACTTACCTCAATCTGTACAAAGTCCCAGGCATTCCTTATGTTCTGACTGGTTTTGTACTTACCTCAATCTGTACAAAGTCCCAGGCATTCCTTATGTTCTGACTGGTTCTGTACTTACCTCAATCTGTACAAAGTCCCCGGCATTCCTTATGTTCTGACTGGTTTTGTACTTACCTCAATCTGTACAAAGTCCCAGGCATTCCTTATGTTCTGACTGGTTTTGTACTTACCTCAATCTGTACAAAGTCCCAGGCATTCCTTATGTTCTGACTGGTTTTGTACTTACCTCAATCTGTACAAAGTCCCCGGCATTCCTTATGTTCTTACTGGTTCTGTACTTACCTCAATCTGTACAAAGTCCCAGGCATTCCTTATGTTCTGACTGATTTTGTACTTACCTCAATCTGTACAAAGTCCCAGGCATTCCTTATGTTCTGACTGGTTTTGTACTTACCTCAATCTGTACAAAGTCCCAGGCATTCCTTATGTTCTGACTGGTTTTGTACTTACCTCAATCTGTACAAAGTCCCAGGCATTCCTTATGTTCTTACTGGTTCTGTACTTGCTCATGGTTTCCATAAGGAGGTCTTCCACCTTTGATTCCACCTGAAGATAGACATATCTTCTGTATGTTTTTAATTAAAGAAAAAAAAAAAACAGGATCAATTCTACTGAATCAGAAATTAGTAATTATATGCATTAAATGATGGAAATAGCTTTGCACACCTGCATCAACACCAATACATACATCGGTACATGAACACATACATGACTTATTGCTATCATTTTTTTTTTTTTTATTTTTTTACTTTTTTTATCCAAAGTTGTGCCAAATACTGTCATATACTGTCACAACATATCTTTATTTTTCATACTTTTCATTCTTCTAGAACCCCTGATCTTGCTTAAAACGTTTTTAATTAACACTCAAGTTTCTATGAATGCAAGCAACCCCCCCCCCCCCCCCTTTCCTTCATAAGGGAAATACGTAGAGAAATGTGATGGGGCTATAAAAAGCAAAACTTCAAACTACCGGTAGTTCAAATCCATGGCCCCAGAGGTTGGGAAGATCAATGCCTATACCTCTATGTCTAAGTAGATCTTTCTGCCAGGTTTTTTATGAAGTCTAATCAGAAGTCAATATCCATCCGTTTACAGGGTCACAATTCATGTAAAACACGACTAGTCTGAGTAATCTATTACAGCGATGTAATAATGGACTGAAATATAATCTCTCCTTCAGGTGTTCTCATGTAGGAAGAATAGTAAATGAGATTCTCTCTAGGTGTCTTAAAAATATTTGAATTATAATAATGATTTTGTCTATTTCTTTAATACATTAAACCAATGTCATGTTTTTATACACTCTCAGGTTGTATCCATGTACAGTAATCTGTAAGGGACTTTTGGAGTACAGAAATTAATACTGCCTTCTGCTTGGTGGTGACAGAGGATGCAAAATTAAGAACCTGTTTGGTGCTTTTCACAGTTTTATTCATAGAAAATGGCTCCAAGCTTTGAAGTTAAAACATTATTATCCCTTCTCTTGCTGTGCATGGATGTCATTCCATAAAAATTGGCCATGTCATATCTCTATTGCTAATCAAGCATTCTAAATCATAAAACTCTGATAACATAAAAGGTTGCACAACAGAATTAAATTTTGCTATATATTCTTACCAAAAATGCGTAGGTGAAATGAGTAGGTGGTATTAATTTAAAACAAACTTCTGAGATATTTCCTTTTCAGAACTTATAAAACAATTCTTTATAAAGATTTTAGTACCAAAAAATACATAGCCATCCAGTAAGGCACACAAATTTGTTTCGGTCGAAGTCAAGCAGGTGCTTGAAAATCAAGTTCAGGACCTAATCACTCCCCACTCAAATACAGTATATAGAAAAATCAGCACGCCCTACATTATAATGAATCTGGTCAATACAGGAAGTTTACATATAGTTTTTCATCTCATAAAAAAAAATTCAGCTCCACTCTCATGCAAAAAAGCCCGAATTAGGAGGGGAGATTCAGCAATTATTTTGCGTCAGCCATGTTTTGACGTGAACCTTAACTGAAATACTGTTAGGACACCAGAAGACTGGGGACTTCACCATTGAAAAAAGCTATTCTTTCTTGAAAAAATGGAAAATAATTCATTGTACATGTAATATTTTGAAAATAACATATATATTGATTCATATTATCTTTATGTGAAAAAAAAATTACTACATGTACGGACTTAATATGTAACAACATGTTAATAATATACATTATTATACTTTCATTTTAAATACTAAAATCTGATTGGTTTAGAAGCATTTAACAATCCGTAATGTTACCCTCAGCGTTAGCAACACACTTGACAACGGGTAACATTACGAAAATATCACATGCATTCAAATCATGCGCGTACGGTTCACCGTAGAATTCTCAAAACGTCGGTTGTGCGTTTGAAAGAAGCCAAATAAACGACGTCAATTAGAGCTCGTGTCCGATGTAGCTTACTTGAAAACAACAAACGACAGATGACACATCCTTGCGAGTGCAAACTTTAGATGATAAAGGACTTTTTGAGTAGCAAACAAACAATAAAGAGGTTGGTAAATCTTTTCTGAAGCTTTCTTATTGACAAAAATAGAAGCGGGGAGTTTGAAAGCTTTCTAAGCGTGAACTTAACGACGATCTCCGAATTTTTTTTATGACATCTGAAATCAATAAGACATTCAGTACAATAAAATAAATAGTGCCCGTTTTTGAGGGTAACAGTTGAAATTGACACCCCTCGGAAAACCATTGTCAACCTCCGCTGACGCGTTGGTTGACAATGGTTTTCCTTGGGGTGTCAATTTCAACTGTTACCCTCAAAAACGTGCACTATTTATATATTATAGATAAACTTCTCCACACATTGACTGTTTACCTGTATACATCACAGCATTAACCCAATAAACAAGAGGTAATTTGGTTCTCGATATATTCTGGGATCACATTTATCTCAAAATAGAACATAGTGCTAAGTTAATCTGATTAGGGAGGTGTATCTGGCAATAGGATTTTCAAACCTTTAGGTAATGATTATAGCCAATATTACATGAAAGTTAGGATATTCTACCAACATTTCAATTTTTTTTTCTTTCAACAATTTTTTTTTTTCATTGCTGTATCAAGAAAGAGTTTGTATTTTCAATGAATAACCACGACTAAAATTTTTCACATTTAAATGTACATGTATCAACAACTGTTAACAGAATAGAATAACAACTGAAAAAGCCTTGGTCTTCACTTCAAGATGCATTTTTATATACAGTATAAGTACTTTTTTCCATGTGGTATTAATTAACTCTATGTACCCAGTCACAAATTTTCAGTGGAAATTGTCCCAGCTTACTTAAAGTACATTTAAGACGTACACAGGCAATCTAAGAACTTGTCTTTATAAATGAACCCTGTGAACACTGTACTAGACTTACCTTGTCTTTATAAATGAACCCTGTGAACACTGTACTAGACTTACCTTGTCTTTATAAATGAACCCTGTGAACACTGTACTAGACTTACCTTGTCTTTATAAATGAACCCTGTGAACACTGTACTAGACTTACCTTGTCTTTATAAATGAACCCTGTGAACACTGTACTAGACTTACCTTGTCTTTATAAATGAACCCTGTGAACACTGTACTAGACTTACCTTGTCTTTATAAATGAACCCTGTGAACACTGTACTAGACTTACCTTGTCTTTATAAATGAACCCTGTGAACACTGTACTAGACTTACCTTGTCTTTATAAATGAAACCTAAGGCACCAGCTGCAATCTCTCCTCCAATGATGATGATCAAAAAGAAAACATACTGTGAAAGACAAAAGAATACAAGTGTCAGAGAAAAAAAATCATCTAAAACTGGCACTTTGTGGCATCAGCAGTACAGGTTAAATACACATGTAGAGAATATAGCCAGGGTGTCTGCCAGAGGACCAAAAAATATCTAAAGGTAGAAAGAGTAATGATTCTCAACTTTTTCACCCCAACTATTTTTTTTTTGGGGGGGGGGGGGGGGGAGTTACCCAGGTATAAACATGTCTACAGACAAAGGGACACACACACAGCTGGGCATTGCAATTCCAGTATACTTCCAAAACTTTGTTTGGAGGTGGTATAATTAACAGTTATCTTTTCATGCACTGAATGATCTGTGAAAGTGAGCAACTTCCATCTCTGTTTAGGCTTACTCTTAAATCTCTTGTAAAAAGAAATAATACAAATGAATTCTCTTTAATACATCCTGTATATTGCTAAAACTGCAAATAAAACACAGTCTATTTTTACGCACTATATGAGTAATTTCTGTTTTAGCATGAAAGTCCCTACAATGAAGGCATGAACAAGCCTTACTGAACAGTACATTACATTTATCTCAATAGATTCAATCATGTTAAATCCAACATGAGGCCCATGGGCCACAACGCTCACGTAACTTTGGCCTTGCTGTTTTTCACTTGATTTCTCCCCCCCCCCCCCCTTTGTAGTACTTACTGTGGCCTCGCCCTACCCCCAGGGGTCATGATTTGAACAATTTAGAATCTACACTACCCCAGGATGCTTCCACATAAGTTTCAGCCTTTCTGGTCCATTGGATCTTGACCTGAGAGGAAGATTTTAAAAGATTTTTACTACATATTTCAATGTAAAACTTGGATTCTCTATTGTGGCCCTGCCCTTCATGATTTGAACAATTTAGAATCTACACTACCCAAGGATGCTTCCACATAAGTTTCAGCTTTTCTGGCCCAGTGGTTCTTGAGAAGAAGAATTTTTAATGACTCCACCCAATTTTTGTGTGTTCTTGATTATCTCCCCATGGATGGGGACTTGGCCCTTCATTTTAACAATTTAAACTCCCCTTCCCTGAAGGATGCTTTGTACTAAGTTTGGTTAAAATTATCCCCTTCCCTGAAGGATGCTTTGTACTAAGTTTGGTTAAAATTGGCCCAGTGGTTCTTGAGAAGAACTTGAAAATGTGAAAAGTTTACAGATGGATGGACAGACGGACGGACGACAGACAACGGGTGATCAGAGAAGCTCACCTGAGCTTTCAGCTCAGGTGAGCTAAAAAAGGTAGACCCTTTGCAATATTCAAAATCTTTCAAGAAATACTCCCTGGCTTCAAAAATATTACGCAACCCCAACTTTGCTATTTTGATATTTTCAAACTACAAAATATAGAAAAAAAATGAATTAGAAGTTTCGAATGTCTAAGGGCAATAAATATTGTAAAAATAGGTCAATCATCACAAAAACTCAAACCTCAGTGGTAAGGGACTAAAACATCATAATCCAGAGACATAAAAAAAATCATCTCTTTATAAACAAGTATTGTAACAAATTTTTATTCTAAACTATCTGAGGATGCTTCCATATAAACATGACTGATCATTGGCTGTGTTGTTCTTGAGAAGAAGATTTTTGAAGATTTTTCCTACTTATACCCCTGTAAAACTTTGAATTTGGCCATAGTGGCCACACCCTATCCCCAGGGGTCATGCTCTGCACAAATTTGAATCCACACTAGCTATGATGCTTCCATAAAAAATATGAATGATTCATGCCTTTGCTCTTCTTGAAAAGAAGACGTTTAAAACTTTTCCTTCTTATACCCATGTAAAAATCTGATCGCCCATGGTGACCACACAGTGCCTGGGAAGGTCAAACATCAGGTGGGGCCAATGGCCCCACTGTTCATAAAATGTTGGGACCATTTTGAAATTTAAGAGGCCGAGGGGAAATATATTGGGGCCATTCTAAAATAAATTATAGTATGATGCTATAGGATAATGCATATATCTCTGACAACAAAATTTAGGAAAATTAAAAAGAAAAATGCGATAGGAATTGATAAGTCATATGACATTGACTAGTGCAAATGATTTTTCCGTTTCTAAGAACTTCAGTCAATCATCATCTTGATTCTAACCAACTAGTATTTAGAAAAATTATATTTAAACCAAAAGCACCATTTTTAATGATGTCTATTTAGAGATCATGGGACAGGCTAAAATAAGTGGACTTCGTTGAAAAGGTTTTTCATTGTAACTAAGGTAGATCTATATAAATTTTCCTTGTGTGTGACTTTCGTAAAGCTGTGGTCAACCATCGAAAAAGGACTTGACACTTACGAATCGAACGACATGAAAAAAAAATGTTTCTTTGCCAGTGGATGTCAATATGCCGAATGATGGTTCCAATTTTTTTATATGATCATACATCACAGATTCCATCCAACTTCGATGAAGAATACAGATAGCGTGGACTGCGATGAACTTACAAAATAATAAAACATGCATACCAGCATTTCGCGGGGCGCGCCGCATGGCGCTGCGCACCATTATTTCCTTGCGCCATTTTTCGACAGTATGCGCATATGGCGCATGGCACGGCCCCTTCCTAGGCCCTGACCACATCCTACCCCCTGGGGTCATGATTTGAACAAACTTGATTCTACACTAGCTATGGATGCTTCCATATAAATATGACTGATCATGGTTTTGCTATTCTTGAGAAGAAGATTTTTGAAGATTTTTCCTTTATATTCCAATGTAAAAATTTGATCTCCCATAGTGGCCACACCCTACATTCCATTAAATTTGAACAAATTTAAATCTACACTATGTCATGAAGCTTTCATACAAATCTCATCATTTCTGGCCCAATGGTTCTTGAGAAGAAGATTTTTAAACGACCCAACCCAATTTTTACTTTTTCTTAATTATCTCCCCTTGAAAGACAGTGTGGACATTCATTTGAACAAACTTGAATCCCCTTTACCCAAGGGTACTCTGTACCAAGTTTGGTTGAAATTGGTCCAGTGGTTCTGGAGAAGAAGATGAAAATGTAAAAAGTTTCTGACAACCATGACAACAGAAAATGGACAAATTTCAATCAGAAAAGCTCACTTGAGCCTTTGGCTTATCTAGGTGAGCTAAAAAAAAACCCTTTAAAATAGTGAAAAAATATTCAATGTCCAACTCTAAGGGCCATATGGATACTTTTGTGAAAATGGATCAGTGAAAATTAACTCTAACTTAATCTTAAGTCATCGATATCAGCATGTTTTTTATTAGTTTGTAGTGTACAGCTACATTTTACCACTTAAGGGTAATGTTGCAATGGGAGGCAGCCACAAACATTTACTAGATCTAGATCTATAAAATGGTCAGCTACATTCCGTACCCAACACCTGTTATGTAACTAAGTGCTATAATCTGACTATTACAAAAACAAAAAAACAGCAGAAACCATATATATGGAGAAAATCAATGCTTGAGTATATTGTTTCCTTTTATCCTAGCTTATATTGATTATTTTTTACAATTTTTATGACATATAAAACTAATGCAGTATCTGTTTCATTAAAACTGATTCTACTTTGGTTATCAGTACTCTGAAATAGAATACTGTGTGATGTCAACCTGCTTTCATACTGACTCAACTTCTAGAACATTAATAAACCACACCCTGAAAGCAATAATCACAGAGTGTTGCCATAGCTACAAATACAGCAATACACGTAGTTAAATGGTTTCTCCTCAACAAATGTTACAATGTTGCTAAGCAACATCTTTGTTTTAATTGTAATTTTATCTTGATAAAATTACGAGGAATCTTACTAAAAAGCCTGTTTTTTTCTGCAGTTTTTTCTGAATTTCCTTGTTGTTAATATACACAGTGCTTACTTAAACTGATAAAAGTGCAATTAATTTTGGGAATAACTTTTGTTTTAAAAGATAACTATAGAAATCTTCCTTACTCGTCACTGCAACAAAGATATCTATTAGCACAATACTGAATAATTTAATGTCGTAGTAGAAACGGCAAGATTAACTACCTATCAATGAAAATGTCAAGTCAAATGTCCAAAAAGCTAATAACAAGCAAGTTTTTATATTTGAGGATCACCCACATGCTCTTAAATGTCGATATTGACATTGCCTTTTTGTCTTCTCCTATTTCTGTTGACTTTACATATGATTAACATGATTAAGGAAGTGCTAACCTTTATATTGAGATGAAATCCAACTCTTGATTGTTTACAAGTACAGGTTAAACACATTTAAAAGGTATTGTGAAATCTAAAATGTTATAATTCCAATAATGAATCTAACATGTTCTAAATTTCAAATTGCTCTGGTAATCAAATATATAGTGCAAGTCTAGAGTATAACATCAATTTTTCTACTTTATTACTTTATCACATTTTGCTTATATTTGACAGGGACAGAAATTCAAAGCAGGTAAAAAAATTACACCAAAATTGTGTACTTTATAAATCTACTTTTAAAATTAGTTCAAAACACTTTAAATGCTGTACATATCCTAACAGAAAATTGTCCTACATTACTATACCATGAATTCATTTGAATAAACTTACAAATCCTAGGAGACATTTGCTTTCTCTGATAGCACCACAACAGCCACAGAATCCTACGAGGAAAATGAATGCTCCAAACCCAATAAGGACGTAAACTGCATAATCAAAATACGGGTCCTCCGTATCCACATCAACTACATCAAAGTAAGAGTTAACGTTCTTGTCAACTTTGAACCAAATTCCCAAACCTAGGAGGGCAGCTCCAGAAAGCTAAAAAAGTAATAAAAACTTTCATAATTTTGTAATATTCACAGGTATAAAACAAATAAGATGTTGACTCTTGTGCTATTTTAAAAAGAAAATGGGAGCAACTGGAAATTAAATAGCTAAGTAAGTCTATATCCCCTATTAAGAGTAGATAATAAATTTCATTATTGACTATTTATTTTCGCTTCAGTATCATTTCTCTTCCTTAAAATTTCAGTAAACTTAATACTAGTCATGTTGATATAACATATTTTTTACTTTAAGCTAGTTGATGTTGATATGTTAGTAAGTTGGTGTTGATATTTTTTAGTTAGAGGTAAACTTCGTTATCTTGACATCGACGGGACCATCGGAAAATGTCGAGATATCCGAGGTGTCGAGATATCAGAGTTGAGACTTGACGTCCAAGATTTCATTGCATAGCAAAACAGACAAGCTTATTATATGTACATGACTTTAATATAGACTGTAGCTCAACATATTTCAGAATTCCCTCTATTTTTATTAAAAATCTAAGAAGTTACTTTAAAAATCTTGTTTATAAAACGTGTTCTTTATTGAAATCTTTCTAAATTCACAAAGTTTCAGCACAAAGTTACAGCATTGAGCTGCATTCGCGTGTTACTTGCCTTTTCGTCAGAACAGGATATAAAATGCGCTCTATAAACTTCGAACCGTATAAAGCCGACATCCGATATACAATAAAAAAAAATTAAATGCGGATTATTTTTTTTCTTATTTCATTCAGGAAGAATGTACATTAAAATTAATTTTTTTTAAAGAGATTTGTGTATCTAAACTAACGTAGTGATGTTACAGATGCACGAATTACGGCTGATTCGGTCAATCGTGTCGTTAATTGGATTGTTTAATGTTGAATACATTTTAACTACAAAATATCATTAAAACATTTTTTTTTAATTCCTTGTTTGAATTTTTCAGTGTGTTTGTTATTCATTGTAATTTAGTTATTTTTTTCAAATTTAAAAGTTATGTTACGTTTCGATATAAATAACATTCTGTACATTTACGCAGAATTGTGTAGATTTAGCAATGATATTACCCAAGCTCAATTAACTTCTCAAAGACGCCGAAGGGGCTTGGGATTCACCTACAAACACAGACTATAAATTAATTAAGAAGCGTGCAGTCAAAACATGGGTGTGAAAGGTGTGAAACTTTGACGACGTCAAGATATCCGGAGTCGCCCGTGCGTGACGAGTGACCCTATCTGACAAACAGTTAGGTTCAGTAGAGCAGAAAATTGCCGAAGTCGACATATGCCAGGTAAATTTTGCTCTTGGGACTGTGAATATACGTCGAGATAACCCAGGTTGTCGATATTACTGAGGTCGACATATCAGAGTTTTTGCAAATCATTTATACTAAATACTGCCGGGACCGCGGAAGGATGTCGACAATCCCAGGTTGTCGACATATCCGATGTTGAGATACCCAAGTTTACCTGTATAGTGTTGATATTAGTTAATTGGTGTTAATACTCTTAGTATATGTTAGTTAGCTGGTGTTGATATTTGTTTGTTAGTTGGTGTTGATCTTTGTTATTTATTAAGTTGATGTTGATCTTTGTTATTTGGTTGTTGATATTTGTTTCTAAGCTAGTGCTGATATTTGTTATAAAGTTGGTGTTTATATTTGATATGAAGTTTGCAATGATCTTTGATATTAAGTTGGGAGTTGATATTTGTTTTTAAAGCTGGTGGTGATATTTGTTATTAGTTGCTGTTTATATTTGTTATTAAGTTGGTGTTGATCTTCGTTATTAATTTGGTGTTGACATTTGTTATTAATTTGGTGTTGATAATTTGTTATCGAGTTAGTGTTTAAATTTGCTATTCAGTTGGAGTTGATCTTTGCTATTCAGTTGGAGTTGATCTTTGTTATTAAATTGATGTTGATCTTTGTTATCTAATTGGTGTTGATCTTTAATATCAAGTTTGAGTTGATCTTTGTTCTTAAGTTGGTGTTAACTTAATCTTTGTTATTAAGTTGGTGTTGATATTTGTAATTTAGTTGGTGTTGATCTCTATTATTAAGTTGTGAGTTGATTTTTGTTATTTAATTGGTGTTGATATTTATTATTTAGTTGGTGTTGATCTTTGTCATTAAATTGATCTTTGTTATTAAACTGTAGTTAACTTTGTTATTAAGTTGGAGTTGATCTTTGTTATTTGGTGTTGATCTTTGTTATTAAGTTGGTGTTGATATTTTGCTATAAGTTGGTTACCCAGAAGATGATGTTGAACAGAATCAGCAGTCCTCTTGCTATAGTATTACAACAGCCAGCCATGTCTCAGGATTTCTACAATATATATAAACAGTAAGACAATAAAACACAATAAAACATAGAATCCCCCTCCCAACCTCAAAATAGTGTTGCATTTATTGTAAAAGCTCATACAGATTATCTAATGCATTTGGATTTTTAAGTTTTTTTTTTAATTTAACTATAATCAATTCCCACTTTCTAAACACACCATTAATCAAATAACCATGTATTTCTAAATAGACCTTAACCAACTACACTCATGAAATCAATTGAGATAAATTCGGACTTGTAATGATAGAATTAAGTTACATGTGATCTGGACTGAATTATATGGTATATAAAAATTGATGGCCCTAACTTAGTAAAAAGAATTTTTTTCACGTTAAGTCTAGCTCTACAAAAAATTTAATCTTTTTTTTTTGGTCAGAATTAGACTAAGTCGCGTACACTGCAGGGATCAAATAAATTGCTTTGGCTACCATGATCCCTGTTACTCAAGCGTAAAATTACCATCTTGTATCCCAGTTGAATATTTTTTTTTTTTGCAAAAATTTCTCAATAATTAAATTCATGTGTATGAATAAAAGCATATTTTACTCCATCTTCAAACAAAGTTTTTACATACTGAAAACTTATTGTGTTCATCCTTATTACATTCCATTCACACAAATGCAATTCCACAACTATCTATGAATCAGTGATAGTCTACCCTTATACACATCATTTCTGAAATTCTTACAATGTTAAATATTAATACATGTACTGTATGACTGTCCATTTCTGCATCTGTCCAATTTTTGAGGTACTTTGTAGTTCACTCAACATGACATATACATGTATAATATCCCCATTATCATTTATAGAAAGAAATTTGTAAAATGGAATTTAAAACAATATACATGTATCTTGATATATAGCATTAAAATTTATAAACCAATTGCTATTACAACCATCACAATTCATTTCTGATTTCTTATCTTTTATATATACATGTTACTTTTAATTACCATACATTTAAATTTCCAAATATTTTTCCTTAAGATTCTTTGCAAATTTGAAAAAGTTCACATTTTCATGAACTACCGAGGGATGAGTAAAAATATTTCCATTGTGACGTATTTGAAGTATAAAAAATAGTAATCATTTTTTTGTCAAAAATGATCGTTGCATGACAAAAATATGTTGCAAGTCATCAGAAAAATAATGTAAATATAAGATGTGAATTTAATTTTTAAGAATTCATGAGGTACATGTACTTGAACGCTTCACCTTTGCATATTTATCATGAAGAGCTAACACGCTTCATGAAATATGCCGGCGTGAAGCATCGTAGTTCATGACCTCATCAGTCATGAATTCTCAAAAATTAAATTCAATTCTTAAATACAGATGACTTATTGTGTCTCAGAAATTAAATTTGCAAAACTTTGAATATTTTTCCAAGTGCATTGAATCCTGTCCACTTCAATTTGGAATTATAAATTTTTACGATTTAAAATGGTACATACAAGAACCTCTTTTCTTGAAAAGCTTCATACTGAACATGTTTAACTATCACTAATTTCCAGTATAGTGATATTCTTTCAGATTTCTTTTGTCACTGGAAGCTCCATCAAGATGAAATTGAGGTAAGAAATTAGACTGGATAATTAGTGCCAATGTTATGGATAATTCCCAGTAAGTGATGGACTAGATATTATCAACATCTATCCCTGTTTACCTCTGGACTGTGTCAGAGCTCTGTACCAGTAACTCGACCAAGGCAACCCTAGTTTTGCCTACCAACCCTACTATTTTTTTTATTCCAAAATCATCATGATCATATTTTGAACTGTACTTTTGTTCAATAGAACAGTTTTCTTCATAGAGCAGTTAATATAATGCATGTCCAGACATTGTAATAATGTGTCTAAGTGCCACTTGTTTTGTTGTGTATGTTTGTCCATATAATCATGTTTAATATGTATATCAAGCATATATGATGAAAATACAGTGTATTGAATGATTAACTAATGCTTTCAAAATAAAAAGTTCTGCAAAAAAAGGTCAACCCAGGGTTGTCCCTAAGACCCAGGGACCAGAGAATTCCCTGACTATAATGATAATCCCCCAGTTAATCTGGTATTCCCCCTCAACCCCATTTTAAGGGAGGACCCCAAACCCCCTTCTACTTTTTTAAAGTGTCCCCTGCTATTTCACACATATTTTTTATTTGGCCTGATGATTGATCTATATCAGGTCCGGCACAATCTCCTCACTTACTTATATAGCTTGAATTAGCTATATAGCTTTATCAAGCTATTCACGATAGTTTGAGTTTGCTATTTTATCACACTTTCTTCTTAAATGTGATATTTTTTAGACTTGTACAAAAAAATGCATAAAAAAAAGTGCAGTGATGATGTATTCAATTTTGAACGCTTCTGAAAACATGTAAAAATCACTCATCAAATTGTTCTCCTTCAGAGACTTTGATCTCAAAAGTTCTAAAAGTTTTGAGGCTGTATCAAGCAATATTAATTTGTTACCTTACAGTTACTTGTTGGATGAAATTATAGAGAAGGTCAATTCTGGTCACAAGATAATTGATTGGTAATAATTCAGCACAAGGTGAAGCAATCATATTTATCCATGCGGAACGACTTTACTTTACCGGTCCCCAGAAAAACGCGCTAAACTATAGTGTCGCCGTAGGCGACTTCAGTATATATGAGATCGCGTGAGCGATCGAAAAAAATTAAAAATATGAGGTTTTAAGCCTTTTTGACCCCAAAATCGAATTCTACGGTTAAAAGTTTAGTTTAAAACTTCGTTTTCAAACGAAGTTTTTAACCTCGTTCTCTGAAAAAAAGTAATAAATATTATTTATTCAGTGAAAAGGAGACAAAAAATAATTGTGAACGAAGCGCGTGTGGCGCATGCTTAGTGCCGTTTCTTTAGTACTTAGCCATTTTTTTTCATGTAAACAAACCAACGAGATGTTGTTGAAGCTGAATAAAGATCTTGCAAAAAACACAGATGCAACTGAATATCTTAATAATCTAAAAGAACAAGACACTGACCCTAATCTCTCGGATGGTATGCGAGGACCCACATCTCCAAGGCGGATGCTAAACCATGCTAGACTAACCCATGTGCGAGGACTAACCCTAATCTCTCGGATGGATGCGAGACTAACCCTAATCAGTGGAAAACTTATGCAAGGACTAACCCTAATTTTTCAGGTGGGTGCAAGACTAACCCTAACCAGTCGAAAAATGTGCAAAATCAACCCTAATCAGTTGAGTGACGTAAATCTTACGTCATAGTGCAATGAGCGCGCGGATCTTGCGGATCTGGGGACCGGTAAAGTAAAGTCTACCCATCCATGCCCTAATGCATACAAGGTGGTGTACAGTTATCCTAACAATGGAAATTCACGGTCACCTTTTGATTAATAAAAGTATCCAATGCTGAAATGTTAGAATTATCTTTGATTTCGATTGCCTTTTTTATTAGTCCATAGTACATAAATGAAATAGTCAAATACTTGCATTTTTTAAATCTATTTCTTACAAAACATTCTTGTGAAAAACTGCATGTAAATAGCTTTATCAAGCTATTTTAAATGGCTTAATTAAACTATATAGCTAATTCAAGCTATATAGCTAAATCAAGAGATTGTGCTGGACCTGTATATTGGCTCATGAATTAATTCATATTAATTATCAAAACTAATAATAATGATAATAATAAAATCAAATATTACACATACCAGCTATATAACCTTGAATGAAATTAATTTTTATCTGCATGATCACGGGATCTCTAAAAACTTTATTAACCGGTTTTCTCACTTTTCTGAAGAGTGGCACCCCATCGCGATATAGATATTGAATGAAAATATATGTTTTAGGCCTATTTTTTCCCAAATAATTTTGTGATATCCATGATTTGATACTACTTGTAATAAAAACTTTATAACTCCATTTACAACATGATTTGCTATAATTTCTTGCCAAATGAAAACAAATTCTAAAAATAGACAAGCGGTTGGTCAAGAACTGTCAATGATTATCATGATAGACATCATAAAATAAACACAGCTAAAAACTAAAAAGTAAAACGTTACCAGTTTACGAGTGATATCCGTAAAATTAAAGAAAACTCTTCATAAAAAACAAAATCTCTATGAACTTTGGGCGTGTTTTCTACACAAAATACAAATGATAAACAAGCACCATCTAGCGGCAGCAAAACAAGAAGATATCGAGCCCGATTAATTCGCGATTTCGCAATCCTAGGCGTGACCGTCTGAGTCAGTTATCTATCCAAACATTCGTCCGTTTTAGAATAGGAAGCGTGTGAAATTTTCAGGCACGTTGTATTTTTTTTAAACATATTTTTTTACTGTTAATTTACTCAGCTGTTACTATGAAATTGTTCACTGAAAGCCTCCTCCCCCCTTTTCCAATGTAGGGTTCATCATTGGTCATGTTAATGAAAAGTTTGAAGTACACTCTACCCCATGAAATAGTATTTTCGACTTTGGGAAATTCATTCTTTTTTTTTTTTTGGTCAAAGATTTTCAGATAAGTTATTAAAAAAAAACCTGACTGCCCCTTTCAAAAACATGCCCGATTCTTACATGTATGATTAAATTTGTTTAACATACTGATTGACTATTACTTAATAAAACTACATATGTATATAGAAAACTACATCTATTATTTCTGTGTAATAAATATTTATAATTATACAAGTTATAACTAGAACTATCTTAAAACTATTACATGTAGAATCCGTGGGGCAACTAGAAAAGGGTCATCCTTTATAATAAGCTTTAAAGCAGGCAATTTAACGTATGTAACCCCCCTTAAAAGAGAGAGAGAGAGAGAGAGAGAGAGAGAGAGAGAGAGAGAGAAATCCCTGAACTGTCCAACCTCAACAATCCTAAATTTCATGGGAGGAACTTTTCTATAATTTTTCGGCATTTGTTTTTTTTTCTTCTTCCAAAGGAATGGAATTCGCCCGAAATCGACCTAACTACAAAAAAAGCTGGGGTAGGGGTTGGGTTTTTATGGTCTAAGTGAATATTTACGTGTCAAAACTACAGCAAAAACTTCTCAGAAAAACTGAGTAGCCCCAACCCTGCACACTATAGGGGCCTGTATTAAAAGGAATTCTGCCATCTTGTGAAAATGTAATTGGTATTGATCACCAGTCTCAGGCCCGTAGCAACGGTTTCAAAAGGGGGGGGGGGACTTCCCAAAAAATCTGACAAGCAAAAAAAAAAACTTAAACGGAAACTGACCAAAAAAGGGGGGGGGGCAACTTCCCAAAATTATCTGACAAGCAAAAAAAAAAAAAAAGGTAATTTACCGTCCGAATCCTGAAATTTGTCAGTGCTCGACCTTAAAACATAAAAAAGTGAAAAGTGTGTGTGTGTGTGTGGGGGGGGGGGGGGGGGGGGACTAGCATCTAAAGGAAAATTTACTACTGCAAAATAGTATACTCAGAAAAATCCCCCCTCCGCGTTCTACGGGCCTGAGTCTGGTTGTAAGCAATCTTTGTGTTACATATACAAACAAGATGTGTTTGTGGAACACTGATGCCCCCGTATGGCAACTTGTAGCAAAGGTTAAACTTTTTCAAATGCAAATCAAGTATGTTGGTACCCAAAGTAAGGTCTTGTCTCGAGGAATATACCTATGAAATATGAAAGCCCTAGAACCAACAATTGAATAGATATGGAAAAGGTTAAAGTTTTTTCGAAAGTATGTCAAACATCAAGGTAAAATAGACAAAATTAATGGCGCCCAAGGAAAGCCTTCTTCAAGAAATATACAGGTGAAATATGAAAGCCAAAGCACCAATCGTTCAAAAGTTATGACCAAGTTTAAAGTTTTTCAAAAGTAGGTCAAACTCCAAGGTCAATGGATTACAATTGTTGGCATCCAAAGAAAGGTCTTGTCACAAGGATTACATATTTGAAGTGTGAAAGCCCTAGCACCAACCATTCAAAAGTTATGGCCAAGGTTAAAGTTTTCAAAAAGTAAGTCAAACTCCAAGGTCAAGGTCAAATTAAGTGTCAAAGTTGTTGGTATCCAAAGAAAGGTCTTGTCACAAGGATTAAGTATGTGAAGTATGAAAGCCCTAGCACAAACCGTTCAAAAGTTATGTCAAAGGTTAAAGTTTTCAAAAAGTAGGTCAAACTCCAAGGTCAAAGGGTAAAAGTTGTTGGTATCTAAAGAAAGGCCTTGTCAATAGGATTACATTTGTGAAGTATGAAAGCCCTAGCACCAAATATTCAAAAGTTATGGCTAGGGATGGGTATCGCCAAAAATTTTGTATCGCGATATTAAGGGTGCAACGATAAACCGTTTGACGGTATATCGCGGTATATTTTTCCACGGTTCAATTCACGATACGCTAAACTGATATCGCGGTTCGGTTCAATCGGTCCAGAATTATCCGAATCGTCCGTTTTGTTTCCTTTTTTACAATTTAAAAATGGCTTCCGCGCAAAACGTGAGGTCGCCGATAACGCATTAACGGAAGTTAAACTCATCTCCAGCATCTTACAGACCTCAGATTTAACACGGAGAAGGACTTAATGTGATTATAAGTTATAGATGTTAAGACTAATGATAAACCCTTTAGATCTAAACGTATTTTTTGGTAATACACGATATTTCATCACCTCTGTATTTCGATGAAAATTCACTGTCTTGTTGACTAAAACGTGTTAACATGAGAAATATGACAACTCCTTTTTCATTCCAATTTAAAAGGAAGATTATTAGGAAAGGTCCCCGTAGTTCCCTGTAAATGTTCATCATTGGTTTAGAAAATTGTCATAACTCAAAGATCTACCTAACAATCCAATTCAAGTAAACAAAATTTTATTTTAATCATTATTAAAAAAATATGAACATTTTATATAACCCTGTCAAGGTTGAAAAAAAATATGATACAAACTTTAAAGACTTTTTAACCTTGTCATGTATCGTGATACGTATCGTATCGTGAACTGAATACCATGATACGTATCGTATCGTGAGGTTAGTGTATCGTTGCACCCCTACGCGATATACATGTATCACGACCCCCCCCCCCCCCCCAAATATCACGATAATATCATGATAATTTTACAAGCAAGTTTTACAATGATTTTAAATGAATATTCATAATTTTTCCTAAAAATATGCTGGAAAAACAAAACTTCACTTTCTTTTTCATTTTTTATTTACATATTAGGTAGATCTAATTTTATTTTCCAATTTTGGGCCCAGAAGGCAGCTTTTTACAATGAAAAGATAGGAAGTTCTGAATGAAAGGTTACATACATGTACACACAGATAAACACACACACACACACACACACACATATACATGCATATATATGATATAATCCATAAAAGTAACATTAGGTGCAGCAGTTGGGGTTATATATCAAACTGCAATTGACATGTGGTCATAAACCTGTATTAACGGTACGTACAATTAAGTCAAATACATACCATACAGTCAGTATATATAAGTATTCAAAATTATCATTTTTGTAAACACATGGCATTATGCCTTTTGTTCAAAGCTTTGATAAGATATTCACTTAGCTTTATAAGAATTAGTTTGTCTTCATTAGACATTAACCATATAAATATAATATAACGCATGTTTTCTTCTATGATGCCGTTCTTTTACCGTTTTCAACATTTTTTACACTTCCTATAATTGTAATTTGAAAGATTGAACAAACAAATGAATGATTTTTGAAATTTCTAACTATTTACCTAAACACTGGTATGTTAATCTCCGTATCACTATACGTATCACGCAATTAAAAATCACGACATACCGGTATACCGATAAAATTGCACATCCCTAGTGGACATTTTCGGTTGGGTGAACATTTACAAAATAGCGACTACGTACGGATCATTAGTATGGAGCGCATTATGCACTTAAAATACTGCATAGTATTTCAAACTGGTTTTTATACCTGGGATGGGAAGTCGTCAAACATCGCTAAGGGTTTTTTAACCTTTGAAACATTTATGAATAAAGTTACCAAAGCTCGAAGCCCCTGAAAGCTTTTGAATATTACCGATTTAGTAGACCAAAAATGAAGTCTTCTGAGAGGACACTTTTTACTATTTCTTGTCGTCATTATTGATGAATTATAAATTAAATTAAATTTCCATGATAAATCGAAACACCGATATTACGAGCTGCTGAGCAGACAGCTGCATTAGTTTGAATGTGGTTGGAGACCTAAAATAATGCAGTTTGATGTTGTTACGGGAGAGGAGAAAAATGCAGCGGACCAGACCAGGATTCGAACCCGGGCCCCCTGAATCTCCAAGTCAGGTGCTCTACCAACTGAGCTATCTGGCCACCGGTGATCGAATCCGTCTGACCGCCACATTCCTCCCTCCTTAAAGGTTTTGGCCCCCAAAGACTCCAACCCAGGCTCATCCCTGGCAGGCCTCTCACCTGTCACTTCCAGATCCTGGTCACGGCACCAAATGTAACGGGAGAGGAGAAAAATGCAGCGGACCAGACCAGGATTCGAACCCGGGCCCCCTGAATCTCCAAGTCAGGTGCTGTACCAATTGAGCTATCTGGCCACCGGCGATCGAATCCGTCTGACCGCCACAGTGTAGTTTTTCTTAGAGACGCACGTACAGGACATTTATTAAAAAATTCAAGCAAAAAACATGATATTCACCCTCAATACTTCAATCATTACAAAAATTAAAATATTCTAAAGCTTATTTCATTTTCTAGTAAATGTCAGTTTCTTCATTCAATCCCCGAGAAGGGTTCTCATTCTAGACTGAATATTCTTCTTAGATTTAAAGTGAATACGTTTAGCCAAATATTAATTTGACAAAATTACTTCACAACATGAACTACGCATCATACAAGATGAAGTTCATATCATACAATCTTGCCTTCTTTAAAGATATATATAAAATTTATTGAATCGGGTCAATAAAAATCTTAAATGGTCAAAGTATTCCAGGCCCTTATGAACTCTTTCAGCTAATCCGAAAAAATTAGGTTCCAATTTCTCTCATTACTAATTTTTATTCATAAACCAATACATTACACGAATTTGACTATACTGCAACAAAAATTTGGGAAAGGGGGGGGGGTGCAACCGGGCAATGTTCAATAACATTTTCAATAGTAAAAAGTTTTGTTTGGA